AACCCCTGGAAATGATAAAAATTTATAAAATTGTTAATGACATTCTCTCACTAGAATTATTTTGACGTAAAAAAAAAGTTGATAATTGTGTAGTCACTGACATAACCAGCCTGGGGGTACAAATAGGGGAAACGCCACAAACTCAAGCCTCCTTGAGGGATTTCACCCCCAGAAAAAAAAAAGAAAAATAAGATTTGATTTGGTGTATTCTAACACATATTTTAGGACAAAAATGTATAAAAATTTCAAATTCTCAAAAGTGACATGAGGGTACAATTTAGAGTTTCCCCCTGGGTGAAAAGTGATATAGCTCTCTGTCTATCAGCTAGCTAGGATAATATAATAATGAAGTCTAGCGTATGATATTGAGTGTCATGTGTAATAAAAACTAACATTATGTGTTCTGTTTTGTTTTGTTCGATTGGCTGCATAATGTTTTAACAACTAAACTATATATTATAATGGTAAGACATTGTAAAAATTATCATGTACTGCATGACTAACAACACTTGCTTAGTAATTTAGTTTTAGTATTCTGTATATAATGATCATTACTAAATTATTGTGATTCTTTTTGTGCCTTCAATTGTATGGTTATTACTAATTCACATATATGTTCAAATTAACATATTAACATTGTAGATTTTTATAATGTTAAGGTTTATAATGATGTTAATTGAGCTTTTCGGCGAGAATTTTCTTATACTTAGCCTCTTGTGTGGATGGAAGTTTTAGTATTATGACTATCATAATTATAGTAGATATGAGAAGGGGTTACTAACTAGAATATATTTAAAGAGTTTAATAATGCTTACTAGCAGCATAGAGTATCTTGAATCATTAATGATCAATGCAAGAGCCTTAAAAGTGGATCTTTTATGTCTGTGCTAATTTTGTATGGACTATGAACATCACATAAAAAGAATTCAAATATGGATTTGGATACATTTTCGTCAGAACATGATATAACTTATTTTATTATTAGTTTGGTTATGTGTCTAAACTGATCATACATGATGTATCTAGATGTAATACAAAAGAAAATTGTGTAATAGTTTTTTATATATGTAGTACATGTATATATTTTATATTTTATTAAGCGCCAGCATAACAAAGCTTGCATATTAAAAATTGTCCAATTTAGCTTGATATGTGTTTATGGACAAAGATATTTGTGAAAATCCTGGAGGATTTGAAACATTGACAACGTTAGTCTATTGTGATTGTTTCTAAATGTTTACAAATATCATTTCTCAAACTTACATGTTGTAATGCATGGTTGTGGAAAACATATTATATATGTAGCCATTCAAATTAATGAATTTTGCTGTCAGTGGCTTGATTCAATTGTCAGTTAAAGATGGATTCCCTTTTTTTCATTTATGAAAATGCTAATACTTATATGAATTGAAAGTGCAGGTGTTCTAATGACTTGGAAAAATACTAGTTTGTCTCACATGTCCATAATTAATTCATAATTATCTAAATTAGAAGAGAATTACTAACAGAATTCCAATGAGTGACCGATCAATAAAGGTCAAATAATCTTTTTTTTATCCAGACTGTATATACATGGACATTTATGATATGTTAAAATTCTTAATTATATGCAGTAAGAACATAATGATATGATTAAGAATACATAATAATTCAGTATAAACACCAATTAATCAAATAGTTTGCTTAATTTGACGCTAAAAAAAATAAGGAAACCCATCTTTAAGGCTAAGAGGGACTTTTTAGACTGGAAAGTAGAAGCAAATTTAATAATGGATCACTGTAAACTGACATCATTTGAATTTGACATTGGTCAGGAATTTTTAGTTTAAACTATCATATCGTCCAATTACAATGGTTCACTTTTACTGCAATTGTAGACAAGTCATATGTTGAAGTTTCATTATGAAAAGTCATACAGATTGTTGACAATATCCAGAAAAGTCAGAAAGGCAACAGCTGAAGAAAGCATCTGTTTAGCATTATATAGCTGAGAATAATTTTTTTTAAAGAACTCATTGCTTGTAGCAAAAGATGACGTTACTTTCAAAATGTAGTGGTTATGTGTATTAATACCAGTCAAATTTTAAAAATTCTAATTCTAGTCTACCTAGCTGAAATTGGTTACTGATTATCCAGTCATTTTCTTGATTTTTTGGCTAAGTATCAACTGGTTAACCAAATTCTCTAAGCCTAAGTTTTTATCCTTGTAAAGAATTGTGTTTTTGTTTGTGAATATTTTGGTAATTTACTTTGTAGTCACAGTGAAGAGTTGAATAAAATTGAAACAGAGAAGACATCGTTACAATCAAAGATAGATAATTCTTCTTCACAGTTAACACAACAATCTCGTGATATACAAGTTTATCAACAACAGGTTAGTAAATAACACAACAATCTTATTATGTACAAGTTAATCAACAATAGGTTAGTAAATAACACAACAATCTTATTATGTACAAGTTTATCAACAACAGGTTAGTAAATAACACAACAATCTCGTGATATACAAGTTTATCAACAACAGGTTAGTAAATAACACAACAATCTTATTATGTACAAGTTTATCAACAATAGGTTAGTAAATAACACAACAATCTTATTATGTACAAGTTTATCAACAATAGGTTAGTAAATAACACAACAATCTTATTATGTACAAGTTTATCAACAACAGGTTAGTAAATAACACAACAATCTTGTAATATACAATTTTATCAACAATAGGTTAGTAAATAACACAACAATCTTGTAATATACAAGTTTATCAACAATAGGTTAGTAAATAACACAACAATCTTGTAATATACAAGTTTATCAACTATAGTAAATAACACAACAATCTTATTATGTACAAGTTTATCAACTATAGTAAATAACACAACAATCTTGTAATATACAAGTTTATTAACAATAGGTTAGTAAATAACACAACAATCTTATTATGTACAAGTTTATCAACAACAGGTTAGTAAATAACACAACAATCTCATGATATACAAGTTTATCAACAACAGGTTAGTAAATAACACAACAATCTTATTATGTACAAGTTTATCAACAATAGGTTAGTAAATAACACAACAATCATGTAATATACAAGTTTATCAACAACAGGTTAGTAAATAACACAACAATCTTGTAATATACAATTTTATCAACAATAGGTTAGTAAATAACACAACAATCTTGTAATATACAAGTTTGTCAACAATAGGTTAGTAAATAACACAACAATCTTGTAATATACAAGTTTATCAACTATAGTAAATAACACAACAATCTTATTATGTACAAGTTTATCAACTATAGTAAATAACACAACAATCTTGTAATATACAAGTTTATCAACAATAGGTTAGTAAATAACACAAAAATCTTGCAATATACAAGTTTATCAACTATAGTAAATAACACAACAATCTTGTAATATACAATTTTATCAACAACAGGTTAGTAATTAACACAACAATCTTATTATGTACAAGTTTATCAACTATAGTAAATAACACAACAATCTTGTAATATACAAGTTTATCAACAATAGGTTAGTAAATAACACAAGAATCTTGTAATATACAAGTTTATCAACTATAGTAAATAACACAACAATCTTGTAATATGCAAGTTTATCAACTATAGTAATGTTCTGATTTTCTATATACAATAGAGACTATGTGCCATGGAAAGGTTTTCAAATTGACTCAAAACTTTCCAAATAGAAATTCTTTCATCTTTTTTTTTTTGGAAAATATATTTTGTGTCTTTCGATGGCTTTGTATATATTTTAAATTCTTTTGTTATATTCAAATTGCATTACAATTTACTTGCATATTGTTATCGTCATTTATCTTAAATTTGAATAAATGACATTTACGCAATTTGTAGTTTAAGATTTGCTATCTCAAACGAGCAAGGTCCGCAAAACTCTTGTTTGCATATGGGGTTGGAAGCGACACAAATAGAAATTCTTTCATCTTTTTTTTTTTGGAAAATATATTTTGTGTCTTTGGTTTAAGCCTTTAAAGTCTTGTATTGTATGGTAAGTGTAAAATGTGATAACAAATTTTTTTATATTGTTTCTTTACAGATAAGTGACCTACAGAATGAAAATACAACATTATCAGATTTAAAAGATACAGTAGAGAAGTTAGAAAAGAAACATCAAGATGAAAAGTTAACATTAAATAAGAAGATAGAGAAATTAGAAACTGAATTAAAGGAATCTCAAGAAAAATCTAATATCTTACTGAATACAGATGCTTCAGGTAATTTATCACAAATTACTTGATATTCTCAGATGATTGTTTTATGATGAAATGGAAGAAAAATATAAAAAAAAAAACACAGAAAATAATAGCCTAATCAGTGATTAAATTATGATTTTCTAATACTGATGTTTCTGAAACTCCTTTAACAGAATAGATGACTCTGAAGACAACTTAGAGACGTTTTTGTGGGTCGATTCAATTAGGTAGATTAGCCATTTTGCGCGTTATTGGGCCAGGACGATATGGTTAATTGGTACATTTGTGAGCCAGTTTACCTAATCTGATTTGGCTAATCGTCCTAATCGTCCCAGGATGTGGTTAGGTGATTCGATTAGGCTTTTCCAAGATGTGGCATGTGGAAGTTGCTAATCTAACAAAATAGCGGTCTTTCATTGGTTGTCAGCGGATGCAGCCATATTGCCAAATCGCCGATTTGAATTTCGCATTTGTGGACCACTGCTAATCTAAACCAAAATGCACCAAATCGTACTACCTAATCAAATCGGCCCACACGAAATCGAAAAAAGCGTTAAGTATCCATTGTAAAACAGTATTAGTAAGTTTCTTATTTCTTGCCATTAACAAAATTTAATGATATAGCCTGGGTATACCCAAAACCATTTTTAGGGTAAAAATTGTGCACTGTACACATAATTGTGCTGTATTTATAATTTAGGTGTTGTAGATCCAGTTAAAGTGAAGCTACTAGAAGAAAATGAATCATCAACACAACAAATCAGTTTCCTCAATAATTTGATAGTTGGTCAACAAACTAAGATACATGATTTACAAGTTAGATTACAAGCTATGGAGAGCGGTAATTACAGTAATGGTAATGGAGAAATCTCAATGGAGGAAGCCTCGTACGTTCAAATAATTTGTATATGTCCAAATTTCTCCATGTTGTTTTATATTGATGGCAAATCTAATTAATATTAGCTTACAACATTGTTTTGTTCTGATCTTTTTAGTCTCCATTGTAATCTAACAAGTTTTTTTACTACCGTCCAGTTCTAATGATGTTATTTTAAACCAATCAAACTGTGTCACTCATGCAGAACCTGTTTCTTAACAACATAAGGAATTGTAGGATAGTTCAAAAGGGGCAAATACCAGTCTGAAATGCAGTTGACCATCTGTGCATCCCTTTCAAAAGGTTCACTTTAGTTAACAAAAATAACTATGTGGTATGTTTATTCATATAGTATTGACAATTATTTCAGACCAACCAGACAAAAACCAGCGCCACGATTATTCTGTGATATTTGTGATATTTTTGATAAACATGATACAGATGATTGTCCTACTCAAGCCATGTCTGAGAGTCCGGAACCATCTCGGCATCATGGTAGTAGAGAATCTGATAGACCTTACTGTGAAACATGTGAAGGTAAAATTATCTCTTTATTTTTTGTTATTTAAGATGCAGCGTTTTTTGCCTTTTTGTGTGTCAGAGTTTCTTTTTTCAAAATCCAATTTCCCTATCAGATGTCTGTAGTTTTTGCATTTCAATTAAAATTTCAGCAGATTATAATGCAACTTTTGCAAAACTTTTGAAGATAATTAATATTGGAAATAATCAAGAGTTTCTAGTTACTGAGATAAAAATGGTGCAAAAAGAATTAAAAATTGGCACAGACATACACACATGGGCTAGAAAAACATTTCCTTGGCCAATTGAAAAAAAAATGCTCTAAAACCAGAGCATTATTTTTTGGTGTATCTTGTGACATTCAGATATGAGCATCTATCAGACTTGTAACTGATAATTGTTCAGATCAGGACTGTTATGTCCATGTTATTTCAATTTTCTTGTCATTGGATCTGAAGCATTGTGAAATGATTTATATTAATATAACAGCATGTTTGTTATAAGTATGCCATTTCAATGTTATGTATGTATGTATCAAGAGATATAGTCGTGTAAAAAATCACTTTAAACTAATTGCCTGTATCACTTTTAAAGATGAACCTTTGGTTCTTTCATGATTAGATAATAATAAACGATTGCGACTGGTAGAAGTGACAACAAATTTTGAAAAATTTAATTAGATCTTAATTTCCCAGACCTTCATTGTCAAGTCCAAGGCAATTGAAGGCTCTGAACGACCAATATCAAATTAAATCATGCGTAGCAGTCAGTTTTGTTTCCAAGTTAAAGTTGAATTATTAAACAACTGAACCACTTAAAGGACAAGTTTATTTCATTCATTGTTAAACCATTTATGGGATGAGTAAAACATCAACTAAGTTTACTATTCGACAATTGCAAAAATTGCAGATTGATTTAAGTTTTTTTGGCAAGTTCCAACACATTCCATCTTATGATCTCACAAATTGATCTTTACATTGTGTTCAGTAAAATTTTATTGTGTTATATTTGATACAAACCTATCAAACTTTTACGGTTATGCATCCAAGAATAACCAGAATCCCTCAGAAGAGCACAGCACATCGGTTGGTTGTCATTTAGAAATCAATGTTCCTCTCAATATCTGCAGATCATGGATGACAGGTTTAGTATAGTAACCACAAGAAAAGATACAAAACATAGTTGAAATAAGCTTGTCAGTCAACATGATTTTTACTATTTTTACTAATTCATTGCCACTGTAACAAATCATTCATATAGCTTATGTTTCTTTTATTTTCAGTTTTCGGTCACAGCACAGAAGATTGTGATGATGATCAAATGTTCTGATGAAATTTATTGCAAATGGCTGCCTCCATCATACTTAAATCTGTTGCTAATCATTCCCTTTGTGACATCATTTCCTGCATGATGTTTAAACTGTGATGTTTGAAGCATTGTGATTTCTCATCATATTTATGGCTCCAAAATGTTATAGTTACATTTAGGAAAATATTTAAATTCTGTTCCCCAAAAAAGATGAATATTAATCTTTTGGATTAATTGGTTCGTATCAAAATAGAAGAAATTGGTAGTGAGACAATAGGAGAGCACACATTGTGTTGTGTAGGTTTTTGGCATAATATCATCTAATGAAAAAAAATGTCATTATAGCACATAATAATGTAATATTATGTTTTCAATTTCAAATGTCAATCTAAAACATGTGATTACTTCAACACATCATATGTGTAATGACACATTGATCATGACTGTGTGACAAAATAGCACATTTTTTGTGACAATTTGTACATGTATGAGTGACAATTTGTACATGTATGAGTGACATTATTGCACATTTTGTGTGACAATGTAACGCAGTATGTGTCACATTATTACACATTTTGTGTGACATTATTGCACATTTTGTGTGACATTATTGCACATTTTGTGTGGCATTATTGCACATTTTGTGTGACAATACAATATTACACATTTGTGTGACAATACAATCTTACACATTTTTGTGTCAATACAATATTACACATCTTGTGTGACATTATGACACATTAATAGTGTATACTACAACTACACTTCAAGAAAGTCAATGTAATGTGTTTTGCAAGACAAAAAATGATATGCCTATCAAAAATATAATACTCTAAATAATACTTAGTTTGTGCTGTTATGTTTTGGTGATACTTAAGTTAAAATGGATTCTAATTACTAATCTCAGGGTAAAATAGCTATTTTAAAATTTCAAATATTTTATTGGTAGCTTTAGTTTGCATTTAAATCAAATGAATTAGTAATAAAAATTAATTTCTTGTGTATGGTTCAACATCATATTGGCCAAAGATCAAAATTTTGAAAAAGTTTTATACGTTTTGGCTGGAAATATGGAAATATGGAAATACAATATGATTTTTTGCATTTATTAAAATTTTTATGAAGAAAGGTACACATGACAAGAATATAAACCTAAATATTTAATTTCAATGTTTATATTGCCCACTAACTGAGAAAAATATAAAAATATATAAAATAATTCAGATAAATATAAAATAATTCAGATAAATATAAAATAAGATATGAAATAATTGTAAATAAATGAAATTTTTATCCAAGTTCAGCTTGAATGATTCCTACAATATGTAAATAGACAATTTTTAGAAAATCTGCCTGAATTTTTAAACAAAACTGAATTCTTATGTTTTGAAGCATATTGGGTTGTTTCTAGCTTGCAGAATCTTACATAGTGTTCAAGTGAAGAAACCCTTCAATATTATCTTTGGAAATTATCTTGAACTGGCCTCATCATTCATATCTCAGTAAATAATTCAAGATTTCTAGTGGATCTGTCCATCTCATTTGGAATATAATGCCATGTTTCCATGGTATCACAGACATTTAGGTAAATTTTACAAGTTGGCATCCAAGAAAATATTGTGGCATCAGGAGGTCTAAAAAATTCTCTAAAAGGAAAAAAAATGTTAATTACATTTTTTTTTTTACTTTTGTTAGTTTGGGACAAGCCAAATATGCTTTAAATATAAGCAAATTTGCTGACATGTTTAAATTGATTCAGGCAGATTTTGTAATTTGAATTCTGAAATTTGTTATTCCCCCTGTTTATAATATAAGCTTTAATTTTCAATATGTGGCAATGCATTGAATAGTGCTATACTATGTATATATATATAAATAGGACCTTAACTTTAGTCAATTGTAATATCTAAACGCTCAATATGCAGTTATATGCAAAGTTATTTTTTAAAAACTTGCACAGAATTCTGATTGGCTTTGCTGCTTTTGGTCTAAATTTTGTAATTCAGAACATTTTCTGGTTTCAATTTCATTTCATTCAAAGGACTGAAGGTATACCAGAATGTAACACTGAAAACATCCTATTCCTTGACTTCAATAGACACCTTTCTCTTATCACTGAAGTTTGTAAATGAAACAATTTGATTGGATTGTATGGTAGCATATACAGCCAATCAGAGGCCTTGAAAAAAAGTCTAAGCCATAACATTTAATCCAATCAAACAGCTGTATTCGTTGTTACAACAAAGGCGGCTATTGTAGTCATAGTGTGTTTCAAAGTTCTTCAACATGGTAATATTTGTATATGCTCTCAAAACATTTTCAATATGATGGCTTACGGAAATATCAAAATATCACACTGTAATTTCAATACTTTAAAAAATATTTTATCTTACTTTTATGAAAGATCTTTTAAGTTCATTCAAAAAAAGTAACCTGAATCAAAAAGAACCATTTAAAAATTCAAATCCTTACTTTTGACATCATTTGCCAATCAGATATTATAAGCATTATAAATAATTGTATAATAATATTTTATTTTCTAAAAGTGTATAATAGTAATTTTATTTATATTTATTTGTAGTAATTGAAAGTTAGAGTAGTATATGGTCATTAGTAACTAGTGTATTTTATTTTAACAGTCAAACTAATTAATTGTCATTAGTAGATAAATAACACCATAGTATACATATAATGTAATTAAAATTAGACAACAATTTTGTTTGGTTATTTTATATTTTTGTTGGTCTCCATTGTAATCTTAGCGTGATTTCTACCAAGGTCACTTACTGGTGACGTTTTAAGCTATTTATATTAGACAACCACAAGCCACTCCCCTACCAATCAGAATCTTTTTAACAAGAGAGTAAATATTTTCATCTCATTCTGGTTTCTCTATCCAACAAGTCATATTAGATATATTTAAATACAGATTCAGCATGATGCATTGTCATTGGTTGAAATGAGCGTCAACAGAACACAATCTTGATATAATTTTTTTTAGATTACATTGGAGACTGACAAAAAAATATAACAAACGAAATTGTAATGGAATTTTGATTAGATTAATATACATGTAACAATTTATGTTATTAAAGACTGTTATTAATTGACTTGATATGGGATTGAGAATACAATGTCTTATACTACACATATTGTAATTTATAAAAGTAATAATGGAACATAAGCTCACCTCAAATCTCATTATTTTTATCTCTGGTACATTATATAATCTACATTATGGTTGTGTAATATTTGCCTTGTTCATAAGATCGGGTATTTAAATATACTTATTTCAGTAATTGTGTCCTCAGTACTTTGACAGACTTTGATTTTTAATAATTTTTCAATAAACAGAAATCATCCTTAACTCCACTTCGGCATTGGAATGTTGTCTGCAAAGTGATTATGTGACAAGGGTTTATAACCTCCTCAAAGTAAGAAAATTTCTGGTGCAACCGCCAGTGCTTCCGTTAATCTGCCTTGTGTCAACTTTCAACCTGGATCACCAATTACATGGACGTAAATGATCATTCAAACATTTTCAAGAATTCACCAATGATTGTGTAAATTTTACAAATAAGTCTAAATTGGAATGTTATTGAGTGTGTTTTACTTTGGTCATTGCTTTTGTTTGAATTTGGCAATCAGTTTTTAGGATGACAATAGTGTTTTGTGTGGATTTGGTCCATTGTGTTTGTTGTGGTGCTGCTAATAGTGTTTTAGCTATGCCTTCACATTTTCCTCTTTATTGATGGTCCTCATAGTTAATGAAGAGGTTTTTAATTGCTTTTAATGAAATGTTTTGGATCGCAAAGACATTGTTGTGGACCATGAGAAGTGAATGACTTTGGTGAAACAACTTACTTTCAAGATCTTGGAATACCCAAAGATGCGGAGAAAAAAACTGTTTAAGGCCAACGGGAATTTGAATAAACCTCTTAAATACCCAAGCCAATACTTCTGTGAACATCTTTAAAAGATCATTATATTGCTATGCATTATATAATTTGCTATTGTTTTCAATTTAAGTGGTTTTGGGACATTTGTCATAACAGACTCTATTTGTTAAGTTGGAATTCTTTAACATATTTATTATTATGTGCCTTGTTGTAGTTTGTAAAAACCTTTAGAAGGGAAATGGTACTTTGTTAGTGAATTGGCTTGTGCTAGACTAGCTAATCTAATGTTGGACTAGTTAGTCTAGTGGTAGACTAGCTATTCTAATGGTTGACTCCTGGTACACCATTTGTCTTCAACTGTAATCTTGTTAGTCAAATAGTAGACTAGTTAGTCTATATATAGACCAGTTAGTCTATTGGTATACTGGTTAGTTTGATGCTTGACTAGTTAGTCTATTTATAGACTAGTCAGTCTATTGGTGTACTAGTTAGTTTGACTTTCTAGTCTTATGATAGATTAGTTCGTTTAATGCTGGACTAGCTAGTCTTATGGTAGACTAGCTTGCCTAGCCGTACACTATCGGATTTAACAGTTAGTCTAGTGGTAGACAAGTTAGTTTAATGCTAGACTAGCTAGTCTATTGGAAGACAAGCTAGCCTAGCGGTATACAGGCCGTATACTATCAGGTTTAACAGTAAACTAGTTAGTTTAGTGATAGACAAATTAGTTTAATACTAGACTAGCTAGTCTATTGGTAGACAATAAACTAGCTAGTCTAGTTGATAGACAAGTTAGTTTCGTGCTTGCTAGCCTTAAGGTACTAGTAAACAAACAAAATGAATCAATTTCGTGGTATGCAATTACCTTTAAATGAATTCCAAAGGGAAAATGCATTATACAAAAGAACAATATAAAACTATTTATTTGGTAAGGTACTAGTAATTTTGGTATGGATATGTTATGCTGCATTTATATTGAAACCCTCGGTTATATTTAGATCTTATCATTGAAACGACATAATACAATTCTATGGTCTATTTTCAGAACAAGAAAAACATGTCTCTGTACACAATGTTTTTAAATTGTACATACCGCAATATGTACACATTTCAACTCCATTGCTATTTGATCACTAAAATATCTTGAACTCTATTCGACTTGATTTGTAATTCAACCATTTACGTTTTGATTCAAAAGTTTCCATTTTCCTGTGAATTCTGATGACAAAGCGCTGCCAGGCTGAGTGCAAATTGGACATGATATTTAGTACTTTGTCTTGTGATAGATTATTAAATTTGAACTACAGAATTGTCTTATGTTTTTCAATTTGCTCTCTTCCTTAAAATCCTAAAAATATTATAAGATCTAACCAAGTGTATGTAGTGAATGACTTGTATTATAAAATATTAACTTGTAAATTGTATTATAAATAAATATTGCTTCCATTAGCTATACAAAATCAATACGATAGTTTTTTAGTGTCACCGCTGATTGAACACACCGTGGCGCTGCCAGTCTTCAAGAGTCCAATATATTGAAGAAAAGTGTCGAATTTGCTGGAACTGCTTAATTAGGATTCAAGCCATTGTAAAGGGAGTTTTGTAGTCATAGTATGTGTATTGGGGACATTGAAGGGATTGTAAAGAGGTTTTTCTCAAAATTTAATGTGTATCTGGGACACTGATAGCATCAATTTGCACCTTTCCAATTTTCAATCAGACATCTGTGGTTCCTGCAAATTCCAATGAAATGTTTGACGTTTGATGATGTCACTAATCGCAAAACAATGTATCCTTTACAATCCCTTTTATTGTGATTACCATGGATACAATAGCGGGTATTATCATTGTTAAAATATTCGCTTACAAGAAAAATTCATATCACTTGAGAAATTGCTTGTTATTAGTTTTTACCAAGCAAGTGATTGATGTGCTCATATTATATTTGTATGTATAACTGCATGGTCAAAGCATGGTAGTGTAAGGCAAGATTTTTTATTCTAATACATACACATAAATGATTCATCACTCAGCTATAAAAGTTTAGAATCAGGTCCGTAGATGCTCTTCCATAACTTTCCATCTCAAGTTCATCTCATTTCCAATAACTTTCTATCCCATCCCATCTCAAGTTTATCTCATTTCCAATAACTTTCTATCCCACCCCATCTCAAGTTCATCTTATTTCCAATAACTTTCTATCCCATCCCATGTCAAGTTCATCTTATTTCCAATAACTTTCTATCCATCTCAAGTTTATCTTATTTCCAATAACTTTCTATCCATCTCAAGTTTATCTTATTTCCAATAACTTTCTATCCATTTCAAGTTCATCTTATTTCCAATAACTGTCTATCCCATTCCATGTCAAGTTTATCTTATTTTCAATAACTGTCTATCCCATCCCATCTCAAGTTTATCTTATTTCCAATAACTGTCTATCCCATCCCATCTCAAGTTTATCTTATTTCCAATAACTGTCTATCCCATCCCATCTCAAGTTTATCTTATTTCCAATAACTTTCTATCCCATCCCATCTCAAGTTTATCTTATTTCCAATAACTTTCTATCCATTTCAAGTTCATCTTATTTCCAATAACTTTCTATCCCATCCCATGTCAAGTTTATCTTATTTCCAATAACTGTCTATCCCATTCCATGTCAAGTTCATCTCATTTCCTATCATTTTTCTATCCCATCCCATGTCAAGTTTATCTTATTTCCAATAACTTTCTATCCATCTCAAGTTTATCTTATTTCCAATAACTTTCTATCCATTTCAAGTTCATCTTATTTCCAATAACTGTCTATCCCATTCCATGTCAAGTTTATCTTATTTTCAAAAAAACTTTCCATCTTATCCCATTTCAAGTCCATCCCATCACATTTAACGTACACCTTATTTCCAACAACATGCCATCCTATCCCATTGCATGTTAATCCCATGTCAAGTTCATCTTATTTCCAATAACTTTCCATCCTATCTTATGTCAAGTTCATTTCATTTCCAATAACTTTCTATCCTATCTCATGTCAAGTTCATCTTATTTCCAATAACTTTCCATCCCATCACATTTAACGTACACCTTATTTCCAACAACATGCCATCCTATCCCATGTCAAGTTCATCTCATTTCCAATAAGTTGCCATCCTATCTCATGTCAAGTTCATCTTATTTCCAATAAGTTGTCATCCTATCTCATGTCAAGTTCATCTTATTTCCAATAAGTTGCAATCCTATCTCATGTCAAGTTCATCTCATTTCCAATAAGTTGCAATCCTATCTCATGTCAAGTTCATCTCATTTCCAATAACTTTCTATCCTATCCCATGTCAAGTTCATCTCATTTCCAATAAGTTGCCATCCTATCTCATGTCAAGTTCATCTCATTTCCAATAACTTTCCATCCCATCACATTTCTCGTACACCTTATTTCCTTTAACATGCCATCCTATACTATTTCACGTTAATCCTATTTCGACTCCATCTTAAATTATTTCCAGTAACTTTCCTCACTATCCAACTTATCTACTATTGAGTCACTTACATTTATATCTTTAGATGATGTACAGACCAATCAGTCAAGTGGTCACTCATCACCAACAAGACAACAAACAGAATCTCCAAACCCTATACATATTGAAGAAGATACGGTTGGGTGGATCAAGGCCCAAACTTCGGCTAAGGAATCAAATACACCTGTTAAAAGATTGGATGAAAAGCCTCAAACAGCAGTTAAAGATGCGGGAAGACCACTATTGATTAAGCAATCCGCAACAACTAAAGCACGTCCTAAGTCGTTCCCTGCTGCAGTTGAGAATAAAGTCCCCGAAAGCATCAAGTCTGAACCCAAGGGAGGAAAATCCAGACCAGTGTCTGTCTGTGTGGAAGTAAATGATAAGAAAGATAATTGTACCATATCCTAAACAAAACCTTTCTTTGTTTTATATTATTATTTGGATAGAACTCAACTATTCGACCCATATATTGCATGCACATGTTGTATATAACGTTTTATGTATATTATTCTGATTCAGTTCCAAACACGCTTCCATCTTGGCATGCACCACCCCACCTCGCAGAAACACCGCTGCTCTGAAAGCACAGACTATCTCCCTGTGATATATGCTTAAAGTTGTCAAAATATATGACGTATTTGTTTCACTAGGCAGTAGATCTTTTACTCAGTTCATTTCAATGCTGCTTTTCAACTGATTAAGCATGTATTCAGACGAAAATATTCCCATATCATCCCCGCTTTTTCTTTGACTAGAAAAGATATCCCTTTGATACGTGGATAACAATTCTTTCACAATTTTCTGTGGCTTCTCAGCAAGAACAAGCCCATTTCTCCATTGCCCATGAGCAAGACTATCTAATTAAAATCAGTTGTACAACAGTTGTACAATAAGTTGTACATGTCTGAATGAATAGTGTTATATTGTATTTACTGTACCTAGTGTAAAATAAATCTCATTTTATTGCCACAAGTGTTCTCAAAATCTTAACAACAGTGATCAAAGCAGATACATCACCATATCAAGGTAGACTTTGCAACTGATAGAAATTGTAAGCAACTGGATTATCAACAACTGTAGCAAATGCCGAAATCTGGGAGAATTTGATCAATTGTTTGACTATGTCGATCAGAGCTCGCCGACAACTGAAATATCGCCAATTAGGCCTACAGTGGCGTTTCTAAGAAACATCAGGTGAGGGACCGAGCAGGGGCCACACAATTTCCAGGGAGGCCATAGACAAGTCTTTCACTATATAAATTGATAAAAAATTGAAAGTGGGGGAGGGAGCAAAGCCGGACCAGCATCTTTTCTGGGGGGAGGGGACAGATAGAACGCAATAATTCGACTCATATATTGCATTGTAGGCCTATATTACGTTTTAAGTATACAATGTATCTCTTTTGGGGAAATTTACAAATCAATATACAAAATATATTCTTTATCACATGAAAACACACAAACTAAAATAACTACATAAATCAAAACTGCATATTGGGACTTTAACAAAAGCAAAATGAATTCTGGGAATGAATATGTTTCGAAAAACTAGCCTATATATAAAGGTATACATAAAATCCAAAAAGAAGTCTGACAAAAGTAGAATATAGTTAAATTAGATCAATAACGCCGATAAAGATAGTTAATTTTTACTGCCAACATGTTTCAATTTCATATTTTCAAGGCATAGTAATACAATATATATATATAATATAGGATTTATATAACTAAGCTCAAAGGAAAAACAATTCAGACTCGCTCTGCCAGCCACAAAACTGAACTAGAGTTTTACAAACCAGGGTTTTACATTATTCTCTTCCATCATTGGAAACTGAAAATGAAAGTTTAACTTAATAACATTTGTGACCTTCCATGAACATTCACTTGTAGGTGAGAGTCAGCACAGGTCGATCACGGTGGCGGCGCCACCCTCTCGAGACTGGGGTACAAATAGGGGGCAAACTGACTCAATTGGGGGAGGGGACTACAACTGTCGAGGCTGGATACAAAATGCGGCAACACTATAGAAACGTCATAGTTGAAAGTCTCTCATGGGGTATCTGAGAGGGTTTTCTCAAGATAAATTGAATTGATTCGGTGCATCATCACAAATATTTTGTGGCAAAAACGTATAAACAAGCACAATTTTAAATTTGTTAAAAATAAATTGTGGATACAGCCTCTTACTTCAATTATATTTAATTGGATTTACAAAACTGACTAGTCTATAAATGTGTTGCTTTATTTATCAACTTTCATATGAAACTCAGGTAGATAGTATTTATTATATTTAAAAGTGTATCATTTCCATAATATCATCTGATCTTAGCAGTCCATTTTGACCAATTTGTTCAGTTGAGCTGTTGGCTATACTTATATACCCCAATCCTATGACCAACTATGTCTACAATTTCCACTAACTTACCTGCTTCGTAAATTGATCAAGACAAGCCATACGGATATTGTCTGGTGTAGCGGGAGAATCAAACCGGAAGTACCCTTCAATACCAGTCTCCTGTCGAGAGGCCATGATAGCTTGTTTGGTCGCCAGGAAAACAGACATTGATAGAATTAATGGCGGCTCACCAACACACTGAAAAGATTTATAGATAGTTAATCTGAAATCTCACTTTTCTCTGATGAAACAAATGTCCCTTCCAAGTATTAATAACAATTCACACAAGCGTACTGTAGCATGTATACCACGCCAAACAACACAAATACATGTATTTGAAGAGCACAGTGTGTATCAATTGTGTTCATTTCGGTAAATATCAAATGAAATACCGTAAACCTACCTTGGAAGAATAAACAGTACTTCTCTTGGGCGAGTCTTTTAACATTGAAACGTTAAATACACTAGGTATATTTCCCAATGAAGGTATTTTATATTCTCCTGGTCCTCGAGTTAATACATCACCAGTTGGCGAAACCTTATATCTTTCTAACATAAAATAACCATAACCCTGAGAACAATAAAGCATTTGCAAAATGTCAGACAAACAGACTGCCAGGTATTTGAGGAGTTAGATGCCAACTTGTTCGCGAAAACAAAGATTTCAGGCTACCCATGTCGACTTATCACATTTATCTTCCATAAATAAAAAAAAACCTCATTAAATCAGTATGGAAAGCAAGGTTGATTCTTGAAATAATGTTGATGTATCATGAAAGCCTCCTACATGACCAGGACCTCACCCAGAATGGCAGAAATGATGCAGCTTGATTCTTGAAATGCATGTGATGCTTGAAGAAAGTCTCCTTCCATAACCAGAATGATAGAAGTGATACAGATTGATTCTTGAAATGGTGGTTATCCATCATGAAAACCTACTTCCATGACCGGAACTTCATCCAGAATGACAGATACAGAGTGATTATTGAATGATGTTGATGCTACTTACGTGCATGAAGGCACCTTCAATCTGTCCAATATCTATAGCAGGATTTAAACTGGTTCCACAGTCATACACCAGATCTGTTCTCAATAGCTGTAATCAAATATAACAAATAACATTGTTTCTACGAAAGAGACACCAAGTTGACAACCACAGAGTGTTATTTAGTATCCTTCTCTAAAGTCTATGAGTATCGTCAAGCCATAGCGACACATTCTGACTACAATACTTATGATATTAAAGCTCAATTTTAATGAAAATTTTGAGACATGGACTCACGAGGCACGACCTCGGGGACCTTCTTGTCTACCAACAGAGTCATCGGTCTATAAATTGTTTGTAATTAATATACCAAAGAGACATCCTTCGCATTGATAAGTTTCTGAAAGGAATGCGTTCTGTAAGAGTGCTTATTTACAGAAGAACTGACTGACATATTCTGAAAGCAACTGCCGAACTAGCATAGGTAGGCCTACTAAAACCCTAGCATTATTAATTTAGTCTTTGAAAGCCCTCTACATGCAAAAATATGTTTTACAACGTTTTGACTATGTAACTCTTTCTTTTATCAATTATTGATATAATGCATTATAAGCACTAACCTTGTGATCTCCAGTAAGACAATCTATTTCTACTTCCGAACAACCAGCACCAAATGAATAGTAGAAGAATTTATTATAACTGTCTGTCTCAGCCATATATCCCAAATTTTCATGGCTAAATTGGAAAAGATGTAACATACGCATTGGGGCGGTAATATTTGGGCCATGCCACCCTGCCCTCTCGGGCAACTATACTAAGATGGGTTTGTGTAATAATATATAGACAGTGTCTGGCTGGTACCCAACTCCTTGATAAATACGTCATTACACCCTATCAAAGTTAATGCAATAATGCTGATGTTCGTAATTGAATTGCGTTCTTACCAATAAAAGCCAGTAGCTGATAGCCCAATTCTTTCAGAATATGCTTGCATAACCTACAAATTAGAAAAAAATATCAAACATGTACGAACGCCCTGTAGAAAAGAAAACCATTTTAAGCACCAATACAGTGTTTATGTGCCCTTATTAGGCTATTTAATTTTCAGCAAATTAGTACAATTTTCAGAATAATAATCTGATCTATAATTTTCTTTCTTTGCGAAAGCACATTTCAGCTGGAAAAATAAGTATTTACACAAATAAATCCCTTTAAATTCTTGTTATTCAAGGTGTTCAGATGCATTAAATTACAAACAAAAAGAGTTTCGTCGACAACAATCAACCATGTTCCTAATCTGATATTGTGATTTGGTTTCTGCGAGACGGAGATCGATACTGCTTAAATGCCAATGTTCGCAAATTTCGGGGGTTGATTTGGGTCTTGAATATATTTAGATACATGCAGAATCTCTTGAATATATCAGATGTCCCAAAAAAAACGTCCCAAAGTATGATGGCTATTGGATATCTTGGCTCTTGGCTATTGGTAAACTGATCTCTTTCAAAATTCTCACAGATATACTTCAAGACGTCATTGTCCGTCGAACTTTTGGACATTTTTTGGGAAACCCGATATATACCTATATATATTGTGGATTCTAAAGAAAAGTCGTTATTTCAAATTTAACTATTATTGATTACATTAGCTAGAATCTCGCCTTACCCAGTCCTTCCAATGTGTCCCCTTTTCATTTATAAACGGCTCTAATCGTTTCATTATCTTCTCACAAGCAATCTGAATGTAATAAATTAATACTCGAAATTTAAAATTGTTTAATAAACTAAACAGGATTGAAACCACCATATCTAAGCAAGGACAAACTGGGCTGGTTTGTATCTGAAATTTGCCAAGTAATGGTTAAACTGCTTAACCAAAACCATTGGAAATGCAGAAATTAAAGGGTTTTGTTACTTAAATTTCGACTCCACTAGGATACTTAAACTACCAAGTAATATCCTACTTACGACTACTGTCCATAGTATAGTGACAAAAGTGTTATTACCTTGACAGCCATACCAAACAGATCTGATGAGCTACTAGCAGCAGTAGGTGAAGCATTGGGTATAATATTAGTAGCAGATTGATCAATATGTATCATATCATACGGTATACCAAGTGTAGCACACGCAACCTTTAAGTAAACCACGACACATGCTTAAACTAAACTGTTCAAAACATATGACCAACTTACGTATTGCAAATTTAGTTGATCATACTAAACTTTTATCTAAAGATTATAGATCACTTCCAAATTCGCACACTTGAACTGAGGTTGGTAAAACGAGGGACTTTTTCACTTCTTATTATTCGGAAAGCGCTAAAATTCTACCTTGATCTTCACTATAGGTTTATAATCAAATACAAAATTTCATCAATAAACGGACTCACATGGGTGCAGAGAATATTTTATATCCACATGGGCGCATAAAAAATAGATTGTATAATGTACCTGAATCATCTTGGTATGTAATCCTTGACCAAGTTCTACTCCACCATGAGCTAGTAATACAGATCCGTCTTTATATACATTTACTAGAGCAGCTCCCTAAAAGATACAAACATAATCATTTATACTGTTCCCTGCACTTGATAACACTTTGAAATTGAGCTTCTACGGGACCATGTTCCCACAACTCGTGGTAACTGACCGAGTTGAAGCTACTTCAAGAATGTGAAATAATTATCAAAAAATAAATCGTCTTCCTACAAAAACTCTACTAATGGCAGATTTTTGTTTTTACATAATAATAATAATATTCCATTAATCAATAGAACGGTACACCCTGAAGTTCGATGCGTCTTATGGCAACTATATCTCACAAAGTTCCACATAATTGTCCAGATATATAGGTTCATTCTTACCTGATTTAACATTTTCAAACCAAAGGCAGATCCTAGACACATTGGTACAATAGAAATACCTCTTTTTCTCCACCGATTTTCACTACAATGCAACGCAATCACAGATTCTTTTAAATCAAAAAACAATTTCCAACCTTTAGGCCACCCCTGTGTATCTCGATATTGAGCAGATGTGAACTAAACGATATACGTAAATGTAAAATCAATGAAACTGTTTGAAGACAGGTAACGTTAGTCAGTGTCCAAGGATTAAGAGTAAAAAGTTTGTCTGCTGTCTGAAGACCCCACACCGGGGTTTACTCAATTAAAGAAAACGGATTATTGTGGAGCCACCTATTTACCTGTTAAACTGGTCAATTTGTTTCTTCCGGTTATAATAATCTGATGTTTTCAAACATTCCTTCCAACAGTTTTCAATAAGACAGATTTCAATAATTTGGTTACCAGGGGTTCTCTCCCCTTCTTTATAAAAATTCAATTCTCGAATCTGAAATAATGTATCAATTGTTTGGTCAGAGCTCAATATTAGCTACGCGACGACGATAGGTTTGTCTACAATGCAATTTAAACGTACGGACGGAAGGAGTTACAAATTAATTGCAGTTCGTCACGCCGCATGCAACTTCTCCCATAGTGATATATTAACGGTATTGGACAAAAGGAATCGTTTGTAGTAAGTGCTTGGGCGATGCAAGGAAAGTTCCTGATGATGGCGAAGCAAGCAATGTGCAAGTTATCTTCAGTAAATCAATCATATATAGAACAGGGCATTCGATCGGTTGAATATCAAATGACACCGATGCATTACAATGTAGATCACGCAAGGTGATTAGAGTCATCTGCAGAAAAAAATCCCCTAAACATTTAAATCTTTACATTTAAATCAGATTCGAACCAACTTAGAACCTCACACAAAAAAAAACCCATTTCTCGGCATTTCTCATGTCCGTAAAGAGGAGCCTTCGTGGTAGACCATTTGCCTCTCATCGGTAAATGGAAAACGAACTTACCCTGGTTGGTTCAGCATTCAAATGATCTATAACATGTTGCATAATGCTTTCCATTATATACGTCGCTTGAACACAACCTGCAGCTCTCATCACAGTATTGGATCTAACATTGGTTTTACACAGATGTGAGGTTATTTTCACATTTGCTACTTTATATGCATTATCTAGTCTATCAATTATGTTGCTCTCTAACTATAAATTGAATGTAAAAACTGTGAGTAGTTAAAACACGCCAAATTCTGCCTCTATTTCAGTTTCTGGTAGAAATTGTCAGTTATCGGCTGTAGTAGAGTCAGAAAAACGAAGACGTGAGATAAATGGTGTTGGGGGAATTATGATGGTAACTAACAAAATATCAATCTTTGCAATACATGTGCATCTGGGTTTGGCGGATCTGATTTAAATAAAATAAAATGTCCATGAAACATGGCCCAGGTTTCAAAATAGCTACCAGGGCTGGAACAGAGGCAGATGTTTCAACTAGCCCAATACATAGAGTATGCTGCGCAAAGATATGGCCGCTTTGTTTAAAGAACAAAAAGACATGCCATTTATTTTGTATTTGAAGTATCGTCTTGGCGTCTTTCCTTGTTGTCTGGTCGTTTTGCAGATTTTCTATTCATTTTCATTACGTTTCTCGTCGTTTCATGTTGGATCGCGTATAGTAAGTACGCCTTTAGTATATGAAAAACAGAAAATTTTAATATTTATAGAGGTCACTAAGCTGAGAGAGTGATCATGTGAAATACTCACAGTATCAGATAAAGAAGTAGAATCTCCACAGTTCAAATACATGTCAATATTTAACACTGATATACGCCCTTCATTGGAAAATCCAACCTACAAATGAAATGTATGATGTTGAACTTATCGTGTTAGAATGTGATTTCTATCAAATTGAATTGAAACTACGATTCAACCAAACAGGCTTGTGACCAATAAACCAGACCAAATCACTAGCGTTCCTATGAATCATTAGTCGGAATATTTCTAATAACTTCATGAGATGGTTCTTAGGGCCTCCTTTGGCCATTGGATGGGTGCATCATCATGTTACCGTCAAGGGAAACAATTCGAAAGCCATCCATCGAAATATTTTCCAAATTAAGCACATTGTTTAAAGAGGGAAGTCGATAGAGCGTTGTCAATTTTTGACATGGATCCTACTTACAGTGTATTTGACGTAAACTGGATGTCTACCGCCTGTTATTACCATATCATCTTGTTTTTCTAAAATACATCTCACTGGCTTATCATATCTACAACAATACAAAGAAATCCACTGATTATTCGACACTGGACAATCAACGACACTAACAGCAGAATTGAATGTGATGTGGGGCGCTTGTGGAACTTCCAAGGTAGCCCGTGTTATAATTTGGAGTGTGTAGAAAGAAAAGGTAACTTAGAGTCAAATATATCATTATACAGCTCGGGCAAGTTTAGAGGGCTTAGTTTGAACCTTATCTGATCTGCTAGCGAATCCAGAAATTCGATGAATACTGTGCAGAAATGTCACCTGAGCATCTGCATGGTAGACCTACTCCCCCCCCCCCCTTCTCTTGTATTTGCTTAAAAAATAAATTGTAGTCTTTCACTTAATAGTATTTTGTAAACTCCGGTTAATAGGATATCCGTTGGAGTCCGTTGCAAAATGAAATTTTCAAAGCGAACACTAAAAGCCAGAGGTAAATGACTTACTTTTTGGCTGTTAAGGCTGCAAGACATGCTGTATAGTTGTTTTGGCATACTTTCCCTCCAAAACCACCACCTGAAGAAATCGAGAAATTATAATGAAGACTGCGTATTCACTGGATGGCAAAAAATGCGATTCCATGATAACATTTGAGTTATTGGCGATTGAAAAGGGGTATGCCTTTTTGCGTAACCAAAATCAACTTCAAAACAATGATTCAAATGCTTAATTAATTCATATCGTATCGTGAAATATACTCACCAACACGTTTGGTGAAGCAATTCACTTTATTAGAAGGAACGTCCAAACACGTGGCAATGTTAGACTGTAAATAGAGAGATTACATATTCTTTTTATGTAGTTTACAATAAAAGGGTTTCTTGGAACGAGACAATATAATTAGGCAGGAGGCTATTGGTGAAAGAATGTGCCAAAGTTGAAATTGAAAGCATTCTATATATAAACTGTGTGTACACCTACCTGTATAGAGTCCAGATACTGTGCAGAAGAGTATACATCTATATCACCTCTTTCTTTAGGTACAGCTCTAGCTGACTGGTTCTCCAAATAAAAATGGCGCTGGGGTCCGCAATGAACTTCACCACTTAACACTTGATCACAATATCCTAATCCATTTTCTACATCTCCACACGATAGTACTGTAGGCTCTTCTTTCCAGTATGAATTGTTTTCAATGGCATCCTGATTAGATAAAGATTAGATTAAGACTTTAATCATCCACGTTCAACGTCTAGTTCGTCTGTTATGAAAGAGCTGTATCAACGGAAGTGAAGACATTCTTAGTATCCAGGACAGTATTAATATTTCCCAAGCAGGAAATTGAGGGATAGCGAAACCTAAAGTGGCTGTCATATTTCACTACTTGAATCCATATCCCACAATTCCTTATTTGATAAAGAAACCAGTTTTACATGACTCGCTTTGATTGGTTAAAAACAACATCATTGGAACAGGCCCTTGGTAGAAAACTCTTTAGATTACAATGTAGACTAAAAATATCAGAAAAAAAAGAAAAAAATACGAAATTACAACCTTATTTTAATTAGAAAGGGTTTTATCAAAATTGCTGGCAAACTGACAGACTAACAACCAGATATCTGAGGATGGTGTTAATAGACTCTATATGGTTTGTAGGAATATTAATCTATTACCTGTATAGTTAGTATAACAGGTATATCATCTGTTTTATAGTCTATTTTCACTAAACGACTAGCTTGTACAGCTGTTTCATGAGAATCAGCTACTATTCCACCAATTAGACATCCCACACTTGTTACCTTAAAGGAAGCAAAAACATAATTTTGATATGTCTACTTGTGGGATTTTGATATCATCTTCAGTTAGAAGTTTCTTTTCCGCTAACTTTTAACAGTCTAAACCTCCACGCAAAGGTTAATCTTTGATGCTTTGTATGAGTATGGGGCGTCATAATTTAGTCCTGAAAAATCAAAAATCAAAAGAAAAAAAAACCTATCATGATGACCTCGACAAAGGACAATTTTCACCTGGTTATGCCTCTTATATCTCCGAGCTAATCTTCAAGTACATCTGATTTTTAAAGAACCAACGAGCAATTGCATGTTGAACAATAAATCAAAATTTTTTTGAAAATAAGTTGCCGATTTTTGACCAGTTAGATACAAGTAATTTCCGAACAACCTACGACTACAAAATTTTGAATGTGCCGACTGATTAAACTGATTATCACCCATCAGTATCAATCATGCTGAATTTTAACTCAGGTTTGAAAACTAAACGCTTGCTGGACATGAAACCTTTCAGTTGAGACATTCCAGTATTGATCTGGAGCAGTGGTTCCCAACATATTTCATCACACCCCTGAAACAATCATTTAGACCTTTCAAATATTTCACATTTGCAGCATGTGATGATGTGAGGTTTTCTCTCAATTCAAAATGAATTATTCTGCTACACCAGTTGGCCACACCCCTGACACCCAGTCCCAACCCCCAGGGGTGAAAACACACCAGGTTTGGAACTGGAGATCTAGAGGAAACTTTAATGAAGTTGATTACTGTTTTTCGAAACACAAAAAGATCAAGTACAAGTACATGTTTCAGGTTCTGTTCTAAATCACACTACAATTGGTGTTCTGAGCACTATATTCCAGTGAAATATTTCGTTTTGTAATTCCGTTACAATATGATTTTACCTCGTTTGTAGCTAGTAATTGTTCATCCATATCTTCCAGAATATTTTTACCAGGTACATCTTTATAGTCAATATAACCTACAACACCCTGTATACCTAGAGCTGGCTTGAAATCTACTGATTCTAGTATAGCATGGGCATTATGACTATAAACTGGATACACATGTAACTCTCCTGAAGAAAAACAACATGTTACTGACATGGAAGTTTGAATTATGTGATGTTTCTCGTTAAACGCGTTTGTTGATGAACTGCACCCTAATGGGTCAAACCAGAGCTAATTATTTAATTAATGTTAATTATTGTATTGATTTAAATCGTACCATGTCTTTTTATAGGCAGCCTGATTTTATCAGAACAGTAGCACTCTATAAAATGTCATTTCCAGTATCAATAAAAAATCAGCAATTGTACAAGATACAAACCTTTTAATGGAATCATATCGTTGACGTAAACAGCTTCACCAGTAGCTTGTTGATAAGCAGCTTGATGTACTATTGGTCTTCCTATTGGGTTATCTACAGCTTGGGCAGCTGGAACTTTATCATAGAATTGACTCCCTTCAGTGGATCCATAATCTGGTGTAGCTATCCCACTCATCTCTCTGTCAGGTACAGATTCAATAATACCCTATAATACCAATGGAACCGGAGTTATATTCTTGAATACAAAATGCAAAAAGCTAGTCCTGAGCATTTAAATAAAAATAAAATTCGGTGCCCAGTTTGTAGGAAGGCAGCAGTAAAGCGACAACATAGCAAAGAAAGCATGACTATAAGTTAAACTTGTATTTAGCATGCTCAAAAGTGGCTGCTTACTAAGGGATGGTGCTTAGTAGGGGTTTGATACACACAGTTAAGAATGACAAGTTGATACTTTCTAATAACATGCATTTAATAACAAAGAAATAGGCCTAATAATTTCTGTTTGTAATCCAGTATGGAAATATATATGGGTCGTTGCTTTGGTGTAAAAAAACATTATATTCTTGAAGAATCCCCTATTGCAAGACATTTTTCCCCTGTTCCATGTACTACCATGTACCTCAACGTTTATAACAGCTTCGGAGATGTTTCGCGGTTGGTTTTCATGCGAGCTGTATTTATTTGTTCTTCGACAATGTAACAACAGTAAGACAGGTTTCGATTTACAGCTATCGCATTGTAATTTTGCGAGCCAAAATAACCCTTTTTGCAATCCAACCAACGACAACGATCATGGAGCGTTTTAAAATAGCAGTACATGTGGGTGTATCTTGTTTTTTTTTTCAATATAATAGTTTAATCATTATTAGAAATCATCTTTATTGAGATCGATATGGAGTTGATTATAGTAGTAAATAGTAACGTTTTATATACGTTTTACTTAAGGGAGGGAATTCAAAATCTTATATTTTGACCACTGAGACTAATTATGAAATATCTTTAATTTTTGTCCTGTCGATTACAGAGATGGTGATATGGCACGCTATGATAAGTCTTCGAAGTACTGTAATTCGAAGCATTGCACTGAGGTACAATGAGTATCTTCCAATATAAAAGAACAACCCATGGACCCCCTGACCGAAATCAAACAATCTCACTCTTTCCTCTCCACACTTCAATATATAATCTACATCATTCAAAACCTTAATTCATGATCGTTTCTCTTCTACTTCCCCTGTTACCCTAGCCATTTCCCTTCTTCCATCCCCTGTTCCTCTGGTTATTGTTCCACTACTTAACCTTAATGTCCACTTTCCTCTATCCATCCTGGCTCTTCGCAATACTCCTCTTTCTCTCTCTAAATTTCGATATTCCGTATAATTGCTGGCACGATGTATCGATACTTCTCAAAGTGGGAAATATGATTGAAGATACCCACAACTATTACATGAAATTAAAGTTTATCACTAATTGCGAATCAATTTACATTTATATAATTTTCATGATAATTTTGAAATATTAGGTCTCTAAACGCTAATAATAAAAATATGGTCCTTTCAGTTTAGGAATATTTGGATCCAGTGTACTGCTTAGTCTTAGTCTAAAAATGGCCGGATCCATTGTATCTTTCTTTTTACACTTTTGTGATTGTTTTATTATTACATATATTATGTTAAACGCCATTTACAAGATCAATCTAGAATCTACAACCAGAGAATATTGAATTGCTTTCGAATTTTTATGAAATGCGAATCAAAATATAAACTGATTAGTCAAAACTAAAATTTGTTGAGACAACATTGAACCCTTCAATACTGTGTTGATCAATTGTCTTACCTGTAAAGCAAGTTGCTGAGTGACAGCCAGGTAGAATTTAAAGAAGAAGCTAGTAGTTAAGGTACGTCTGAATTCTATGGTACCACCAGGAGCATCAGGTTGTAGTGGAAGATCTTGAGCTAAATAATCACAAGCAATAGGTACTATAGCACTCTCCCACTTTCTACAAAGATAAACAAGTATGTTGATAAAAGTGAAAAGGTCATTTACTTAATTACAGACGGACTCTAAGTAGGTTCTTATTTCTTAAAAGTAATATATGGAATTCGATTTAACCATTCAATAAAATGAAAACAAATGAAAATATACTAATGGGATAAAATATAATCTTATAATAAGTCAGTCTACCTTCCTTTTAGTTTGTTCATAGTTCCAGTTGCCATGAGAGTAGTCGGCGCCATACCACCATAAGATAAATATAGTTCTTTTATGATGTTACTATTATCATCAAATACCACCCTCATACCAGCATTGACAATAGCTAAATCATCATCTTTACGTGTAGCTTGTTTGTAACTGTACACATATTCATTCTGCAATGGACATTTATGGAACTCAGATAGTGGTTTAAAGTTTAAAAGATGGCATTGGCACAAATGGACGTAGTTGACGAAATCAGCTGCTGTTGGAAGCGGGCGTCAAAGGGATTGTAAACATGTTTTTTTAACTTTTGTATGCATAGTGTGAACAATGATAGCATCGATTTGCACCAGTCCAATTTTCAATCAGAATTCTGTGGATCTTGCAATTCACTAACACTAAGTGTTTGGTGACGTCTTAGTTTTAGTGGATAGCAGGAACCACAGACGTCTGATTAAAAATTGGGACCGTGCAAATTGATGCTATCAGAGTCCCCGGTACACATAACTTTTTTAGCAAAACTCATTACAATCCCTTTAACTTGTCACATCTAACCAACCGACTATTCAACCTGCAGATTCCATCTTTCAATAACTTCTAGTAGTAGCCTAACTGATACAAAATGCAAACCGAAGCCCTTTGAAGGCTTTGTGCGTACGGCAGACGAGGCAGTTTAAATTAAAAAGAGTAGCCTAATGCTACTGTTTTGGCAAATCTAACTGGTTACACACTACGTAGCGTTTTTCGAAGATATAAAATTCATACATGTTATTGTTAATGTTAGTGAAGCGTACCTTATATGAATATGGTATAAACACAGATAACAAAACCTCCGTGTCCCTAATAGCTGTTTTTCTGTATGCCGTAAAAAACTTATCATCTAGTTTCACCTCCCTTTGAGGGTTGTCTAAAAAGTGTAGTAATATGAAATACCAAATACCAAATACCAAAATAAAGACATACAAAATATGGTAAATAAATAACAATAAATAGATTTAGTGGGTTATATTATATACAACACAGAATACAATACTTTCACTGTTAAAATAGTGCTCAATACATCAGTTGTAGAGCGATATAGAAATATTAAAACAGAACCTAAACAAAAACATGAGCAGACTGAAAATAGGTCAGCTGTCTGAAGATCGCATAGCATGAAACTTTGAGTAACAACAACATGTTTTTAGGTCATGTTTTAATATTTCTACAACATAGAATATAATATTTCGTAATAAAAAAAGAGGTACAAATAAAGAGTTAAAACCTTGACCCAAATATTCATCATGTCGAATTGTCCTTGAAATAGAAAGGGGAATGACCTTTTTAAAAGGGTATTGCGCTTTTTGTAAAACATTTTCATTATCAAAAATGTCGTAAATTATATCTGAAAATGTTTCTAAAGTATGCAAGTTATATCTATGTATCTACTTGACCGAACTGCTTTAAAAGGGGTAATTAAAAACAGAGAGGACTAATTGTTAATTAAGCAGTTTGACCTAGTTTTGCTGTTTGGCTTTATAATGGCTCGATATTATTAAATTAAATCTGTACAGTAGTTTTCTAACAGCGTCCAAACAGCATAACGAAATTTACGCAAACTTACGTAAACTTTTATAATAGTTTTGGCGTTAAAAAATTAACGGCGGGATATAGTTAAAACTTTCAACTACGTTAAAGGACACATTTCTTAAGATTGCGGTGTATTATAGTTTTCACAAATTTAAACAAAAAAAAATTTTTCGACCTACAAAAAAGCGGAATGTTCCACAATTCCTCAAAAATACTTCAAACTAGGAATTTTTCTTTCTGTTTCTATCTATTGTGTCTTTTTTGTACATGGCATATATGATTTATCATTTCAATTTTCAAACGCGGATAATCCGGATACACATGGATTTGAAGGCTCATATTTCAAAATCCCATTTCTGAGGTAGGATTGGTCAAACGAATGCCGAACTGTCTCTACAAATCTGGATGTTTCATTTTGCCATATTTTGGATGAGATTTTTTTTACGGAATGTGTGTATGGATTTTTGTACGTATAACGATAACCTTTGATGCTATTCGGTCAAAGTTCGACTGAACGTGATTTTAAGAGGGATTAGGCCCACGCCAGACCAAGTAGGCCTACGTCAAGTGTAGTTTCCTTCAGGAAAAACCAAAACGAAACTTCTAGTTATGTGCATTCATCTTGTTGGGTATAAATTCCATAAACGCATGAAAAAAAAAATAATAAATATAAAATACCTTTGGATGAAAGTACCAAACTAGCATTAAGACATTGTAAAACAGGGTTTAAGTCTGACAATGGGCTTGCTGTAACAATATTTCCACCAATACACTGTATAATATAAATATGAGATATTAATTATAAAGTTTTCTGATTTGTTTTATTTGTATCGGTGACACTGACAGTATCAATTTGCACCATTCAACGTTTGTGGTTCCTGCAATTCCACTAAAACGAAGTGTTTCATGACGTCACCAGTGGCGGAGCAGCCCCAAAGGCGTGTTTTCCTGGCAAAAATATCGTAACTTTGTTAGAAATTCGGACAACCTCAGGTATCTCGCCCCCGCTCGGACGTAAACCTGGCTCCGCCACTGGACGTCACTCATCGCAAAATAATATCAAACTTTATCACAAGTCCTTTCGCGGTTAGTTTTAGTGGAATTGCAGGACCTATCGGAGATGGTATATTGATTGATCCACTCAACCCAAACTTGTTTTGATATTTGGTAGAAGAAACACATTCTACGGGATATTTTATAAGTACATGTATATCGGTTGGGTTTATTGTTATCATATCGAGTGAATACTTACTGCTGTATTTTTAATCTGTTTACCAGCAAACCATTTTAACATTTCAATAACAGCAGATAATGATCTCGTCCTCTCTTCTGCATTAAGGGATTGAAATATACACAATTAATTAATAAGACTTCAGAACATATAGAGATAATCATTTCATTTCAACTCATTCACGCTATAGACATCCCTGTGTTTAAAGAAAGACGTTCACAGTCTAAAACTCTTACGATCGGTGCCAAGAGACATGTAGTCACTTCAGCCATTAAAGAAAAATCAGACGTCGGATTTACTATCTCAAAAGTACTACGGGGTTGAAATTGAGTTCTTTAAGATGGAAAGCAAATACTAATACTGTACAACTATATACATAATAAATGTCTATTCAAACAGGAAAAGGTTTATACCTGCTTCAGTCTCTATTTTTGATCGTAAAACATCTTCAAGTTTAGTCAATGTTACAGAAGACCCAACATAAATTCCTGTGTCTGTTTCTTTGACTTGTATCAGCTCTGGTATATTAGATACATCATTAAGTACTGGATACTTCATCGCTTTTAGTCTCATTTCAATACCTGAATTTACAATGGGGTGTGTGTAAAACTACTATTCTTCCCATCCTACTTCTCCTGCTCTGGGCAGAAAGTGCAATAGTTCATATGGCCCCTTTTTACCAGCTGGTCCTCGGTCAAACATGTTGGGATTTTTCCCCCGGATTATCCATCCATTACAGCTTTATACGATCACACTTTTTTTTGACGTAACATTGCAAAATGTTTTAATTCCGACGTTCTAACTACTAACCGACTATATCCCGTCTTTAACACTTACCTATCGCTGTATTACCAAAATTATATTCTAAATACTTACCAAAAAAAAATCGGTACAAGCAGAACAAATCTAGAAACTGAAAATCTCTTCTGTATTACCAACTTCAAGTTTAAATACTTACCTATCTCTGAATTATCAACATTATATTTCAAATACTTACCAAACAATAATTGGTACAAGCAAAACAAATCTAAAAACCAAAAATCTCTTCTGTATCAACAACTTCAAGTTTAAATACTTACCTATCTCTGTATTACCAACTACAAGTTTTGATACTTACCTATCTCTGTATTACCAACTACAATTTATAATACTTACTTATCTCTATATTACCAAAATTTACATACTTATCTTTCTCTGTATTACCAACTTCAATTTATAATACCTACCTATCTTTGTATTACCAACTACAATTTATAATACCTACCTATCTCTGTATTACCAACGACAAGTTTTAATACTTACCTATCTCTGTATTATCAACGACAAGTTTTAATACTTACCTATCTCTGTATTACCAACGACAAGTTTGAATACTTACCTATCTCTGTATTACCAACTACAATTTATAATACTTACTTATCTCTATATTACCAACCTCAAAGTTTACATACTTATCTTTCTCTGTATTACCAACTACAATTTATAATACCTACCTATCTCTGTATTACCAAAGACAAGTTTTAATACTTACCTATCTCACCATCTACAATTTATAATACCTACCTATCCCTGTATTACCAAAGACAAGTTTTAATTCTTACCTATCTCTGTATTACCATCTACAATTTATAATACTTACCTATCTCTGTATTACTAACGACAAGTTTGATAGTACTTACCTATCTCTGTATTACCAACTACAATTTATAATACTTACCTATCTCTGTATTACCAACGACAAGTTTTAATACTTACCTATCTCTGTATTACCAACTACAATTTATAATACCTACCTATCTCTGTATTACCAACTACAAGTTTAGCTTGTGGATATTGATGTTTGAGTTCTAATAGTTGAGATAAAGAGATTGGTCTGTACCATGTTTGTTCGTCATTCTTAAACTCTAAAATGCTGTCCTGATATTTCTTACAATTAATCTAAAATACAAATGAAAATCTTAAATAAGGAATTCACAAAAGAAACCTCTTGCTCGTATTGAACACAAGAATGTAGCTTCGATCTAGCAGATAGATATGCCCGTCACTTAGGAAGTTCCACATGGGCTATAAGACTAAATAAATATGATTAATCACTAATATCAATAATCTGACGACTGAAAACTTCGATTGTTCCAAGAATAATTTCTGTAGTTATGAACATCCATGTTGGAATTTTGGAGGCGTTACTACGTGGCTTATACCTTGAACCACGAACTTTTTTGAAGACGTAACTTATGAGTAAGTATTTTAACTATTCTTGACATAAAATTTGTACCTTTAGATCTGGAGGAAATATCGGTTCTTGTGTAGGATCATACGCTATTCTGCTACATTTCTGGAATCAAACAAAAACTTCTGTTATCAACATAAAGTCATTTACGCACAGTAAAGTTTTGAATTGATCTTAAATTCTCAAATAATCGGTCAAATGAGATCTACTGACCAATGTGAGAAGAAACATCACTTCAATATTGGGCATTTGGGCAAATTCATAATAGACATTTGTGGCTTTGACCGGCTATATTACTGAGTTACTTACCATTTGTACATCTTGGTTGTCACGTTCATGTGGTTTATTTTTACAGCAGTTTTCCCCCATTGAGCAAACATCCTGAAAATTGAACATAGAATGCCTCAACAAATAACAGTGTTTTAGATAAGTAAGCAGTAGCGGTGTCATCCTCCCGAGAGTGGGGATAAAAATAAGTGTGGCAGTCTAACTCAATGAGGGGACAACTGTCCAGGCTGAATTCCAAATGCGGTGACTTTGTGGGTGCACCTTGGACCAAGACTCTAATGGAGCGTCTGAGAGGGTTCAATTTAGAAAATTTGGGAAAAATTGAATGAATTTGCTGCATTCTGACACACATTTTGAGACAAAAACGTAGACACATCTTTTAAATTTATCAAAAATAAATCGGAGGTACAATTGGGGTTGCCTGTTCCCCTGTAACCCCTCTGGCGACTCTAGTGTTGGTAAGCCTAAATTAACTCTAATTTTTGATACTCTTGGTCCAGAATTTGACTTGTAGCAACATCCATATCTCCATTTAATTCACATTGTCATTTCTATACTTACTAAGCTGATTTTCAGGGTACGTAATTACATTATTAATTCAGTACAACGTACCTTGGTATAAGATCTGTAACCATCCAATATTGGTCTGTAGCCTGTACAGCGACACAAATTACCTTGAACATAAAAAGAGCAAGACGTTTTTTAATACTCATTTGTATAGAATCGTTATGTTATAATCCCATGAAGTGTTGAACATAGTTTAAAAAAAAACTTAAGGAAATAGCAAAATTAATAGATTCTAAAAACCTCAAGTGTCAAATTCAGTCTCAATTCAAAAAATTTGATATATAAAAATGTTCCATGAGATTTCCGAATTTTCATTTCAAAAAGTGACAGTTGCTAAGAGTTATTCTTGCAATTAAAACTAATTTTTAAAGGTCATTCTTACCTTCGAGATACGTTTCGATATCTTTCATAGAAGGTTGTGGATTATTTCTCAATAATGAATACATAGACATAACCATACCTGGTGTACAAAAACCACATTGAGATCCATGGCTTTTAGCTATTTGTTCCTAGTGATGAAGATAAAATTGAGAAGTGAGATAGATGATAGGTTGAATGGGTAAAAATCAATCCAATTCTTTCTGCTTGTGACTCAACTTGCTTTCAATTCGCATCATTATAATGTCAAGCTATTACCTACTTCGTATTTATACTTTGGCTGCAATAGCTGCTATTCTTGTATTACGGAATGATGCGATGTGATTGGATTGTACGTCAGCGAATATAGCCAATCAGAGCCCTCGACAGGAAAAGGCTGTAAACATTATGGCTTTGTATGCACAGATTTTCTGTCGAGCCCTCAATTTGGGTGTACAATCCAATTAAATCACTTCATTTACAAACTTCGGTGAAAGGTTACTATTGCGGTCAAGGTATAAGTACGAAGTTTGTATTAGCTTGATATTGTGAAGATGACTCGTCCTAAGCATCTCTCGTTCTCTTTTCTTTAATATTCAAACAATCACTTGCTCTGTTTTACTTTAGAAACAAAACAACACACATGTTTACATACGGTTTTAACGATCCGTCATTATGCGTACGTGAAACACCTCTCGTATGAAAAGGGTCACCTTGATGGTTAAAATACACTGCCTCATGAACCAAGGATTGGTCTACTATTTATGAGAGTTGTGGTTTTGAAGACCATAATCCAACCATCGCAAGCAGGCTACACCTCCTACATCTGATGTATATTCTATATCCATACCTGAACTGGATGTAACCTTGTTTTTAAACTGCCGATACCTTCTACTGTAGTAACAGCTAAACCATGTACAGAACATACTGGTGTTAAACAGGCATTCACCGAATAATGTCTATTAATTTATTCAGAAAAATCAAAGACGAAAACAACTTAGTAAATTTGGCATAACATCAAACGTTGATATATTACAGAGAACTTCCATAAAGAAGAAATCATCCAACTTGATCTATAGATAAACATGAATGGACACATAAACAGTGACGGCTGCAGGACTTTGGATTGGGCCACCGCAAAAGTTTTTTTTCTCGAATCCATTCTAAGCGGTAAGATGAGAAACTATTGTAAAAACAGAAAAGGCTCAAATCTTTCATTCTATGCAATTTAAAAATATATTCTTTCCATATTTTACAATGAAACCAAGTAAATGTTTATTATTATAAATATTGATTACATATGATTTGAAGTCAAAAACAAAATATATTCCTTGAATACCGTTCATTACACTTGTTCATTAGCAATCTAAAAGGATACATTATAGTATTTTGTTCAGGATCATATCTTGAGATCATAACAGTACAAGCCCCACAACCACCTTCATTACAGACTACTTTACTTCCAGTTAAATCTACTGATAATTTGTTAAGGTTCGAAAAATTTACTTTAGGTGTTCAGCTAAGTATTCAAGTGGCTGCACAGATAGATGAATGAACACCAGTTCAATGAAACGACAGCTGTACAGATAGCTAAATAGATAGATAAACAGGTAGATATAACAATAGCTGTACAGGTAGATAAACAGTTAGATATAACTGTACAGATAGATGTAACAATAGTTGTACAAATAGATAAACAGTTAGATGTGGCAGTAGCTGTAAAGATAGATGAACATTTAGATGTAACAATAGCTGTGTAGAAAGACGAACAGTTAGATGTAACAATAATTGTACAGATAGAGGAACAGTTAGATGTAACAATAATTGTACAGATAGACGAACAGTTAGATGTAACAATAATTGTACAGATAGACGAACAGTTAGATGTAACAATAATTGTACAGATAGACGAACAGTTAGATGTAACAATAATTGTACAGATAGAGGAACAGTTAGATGTAACAATAATTGTACAGATAGACGAACAGTTAGATGTAACAATAATTGTACAGATAGACGAACAGTTAGATGTAACGATAGATTTACAGATAGATGAACAGTTAGATGAATGATTGTTTGCAGATAACTGTACAGAAAAATGAACAGTTTACAGATAGCTGCATAGATAGCCAAAGGGAAATTGTACTGTTAAATTTCGAGTTCTGATTGCAAAACTGCACGGAATATCTTTTTGGGGAAATGCATTTTGTTCGTCCTCTTTGAATGACTAGGAGTTTGTATCAGTTTATCTAACTGGGTATTTTATTATGCAATTATGTAACTTGTTGAGTCACCACCGATATACATGTATATAGACATGTAGCCTATATAATTTATCTAGAATGTCACGATGTACCTTTATTATGCATTACTAACCTTGTAAAATGTGATTGTAACATAGTATCTTATCATGTGGAGCAATAACCATTTATTATGCACTGTCAACAGGCTAAATCTAATTTTCAGCGTTAATCTGCCATTATAAAGATGTTACTAGAACTTAAAGTGAAACTTTCGTCAATCATATGACTTTTTGTCGACTTGGTGATAAACCTTATGTCCACCGACAAACCAAGAATAATTTTTTGCATACTTCTGAATATTAATAGGATTATGAAGTTGAATGACGGAAACCTTTTGACTTTTGAAAATATTGTATTTTCTGATTTCCCATTTTTAAATAATAAGGATACACTTGGTTCTGAGATAAAACAACAGCGACCATTTTGGATCAGCATCTTTTTCTACAATCTAAATAAGATCAAAACACATTGTTCAATACAAAAAGTGACAGGCTGTAAAACGCTTACAGTTAAGCGCTTATTTTGCTTAAATCCGTACAGCAGTTTTCCATCAACTTCCAAAAGGCATAACGATCTTTAAAAGTTTACGTAAACCTTTTAAAGTTTTGGTGTTAAAAAATAACCGCCAGGACTGTTTTAATCAACACATCAGCATAATTAAGGGACACATTTCTATAGATTTTGGTGTATAATATTCATAAATTTAGTATAAGTAAATTCAAAATAAAGTATTTAAAAAGATCAGTCAGATGCGAACTTAAAAAGATATCATTGAAAAAATCCCAATTCGAACTAGTCCTTGGATTCTCACAATATAGATATAATAACATTGAATTTCATTGAAATCAGATGAAAACTGTAGTCTTTATTGTGCAAATAAACAAATTTTCAGGCGTTATAACTTATAATTTAACTATGTACGGTAATTGTGCACACTGTCACTCACGTAGAGATCGAATCTATCCTTAACACAGTGGTTATGAAACCATGCATAACATTCGCTGAAAATTATCCATCATATGAAAATAATTAATTTTCAATTCCTACCTTAACTCCATTGACATAAAATATCAAAGTATTATGTTTAGGAACATCCATTTTGTTTAACTCTCACAACGATAATGTTTGAAAGGATACAAGGCCAATGTAAAATCGTTATCAACTATTTAATATGCAATGTTGTACAGGACACCGAACATGTCATGTAGCAATAATGTGGGATAAGAAGTCGTCTCGCGCTTATTTTCTTTTTCTCGTTTTAAAGTTGTATAATGAATATAATCACAATGATTTCGAATCAGACCGAACTCTATATGTTCGTTTCATTTTTCAAAGATTAAAATTTGCGTTTGGGCGTAATAACCCCTCCACACGGGACTGCGACCATTTGCGATCTTAAGGCGACCGGAAATGTACTAGCTCGCGATCAAACGTGAGGAAAACTAGGGAAAAAGTGATGCGAGTATCTTGCGTTCTAACGTTTTTGCAGCGCCTTTGTCACGTGGCGTTCTCAACGCGTTGGCGTTTTGAATTGAGAAAGTCGTTAGACAAGCGTCGTAACGTTAGTACACGCGTGGCAAAGACGTTGCGAAAACGTGATTTGCAAGGGTGATTTGTGGGATCCTTACCACGACCTGCGAATTTCCAATTCTATGCATTCATGGTCTTGTAGTGCGCATTTTGTGTTTCTATGGATTTCAACTTGATATTCATAATAAAACTTTTACTTCCATGAAATTTATCTTAAAATGTCTTTGGGTCCCTGTAAATTAAAGGTTTTAATTAAAATGAGCCACATTTGACTGAATATTCTTTTGTAAAAAATCATATTTATAAATAAATAGCACATACAGTCGGTGCAGTTATCATTCAGTACCAATTTTGTTACCTCACCTCTCTATAGTCCAGTTGAATATGGACCGAGTCCACTAAAACATTTTATACAAAGGATTGTTTTCAAATGTAGCCTCCCTCGGCCCTGTCTTACCAAAACTTAGAGCTTTTTTATAGTAACAAGAGTATTCTCCCTTAGATTACAAAATATACTTTTCTGCACCATGTGGGCTAATGAAAATGAATGGAGTTTTACGTCCTATTTTGCTGCACCATTTTGCCAGGACAGTGGCATTAGCCAGCATTTTTTAAAATTCCAACTGTCGAGGGATCTTTAACGTCCACAGCCTGTAGCACACTTGGTCTCGCTTTATTGTCCCATCCGATCGACAAGACGCTTTTTCCAAAGCAGAATTATACCCTAGACCTTCAGGTTAGCGAGCAAGCGTCTAACTCACTGAGTCACCGGGGCTTCCACTAGTACAGTTTTATGATCCCCTACAATATTTCTAAATTTGACCGTCGATGAATCCTTAGTGAATGTACAGTTTGTAGCACACAGGGCAAGTCCCCTCTGAACAATTCTTATGAATGCGTGAATTATTTATTGTATTAGCAATTAGCATTAGTGGATGGCATGAGATATCAAATTGAAAGATTCTAAAAATAGGTGTTGCATCAAAAGACCAAAAAAAAAAAAACGAAAACAACTTTTTTTTAATCTATCATTCATAAGTACTTTTTCATCTGGCCCATTTCCACGATGTTTTTAGACAGAAATTCACAATCAACAGATTAACTGTACAATGACATGCATGATAATCCATTTCCATAACGCAATGTTTGAGATGTTCAGCCAGAATTTGGCTTTGAAAAGTCCTGCGTTTCTACACTGAATCCATCATCATAGTCTTCAGGTTCATCGGGTTGTGAGAAATTATATCCGTCTTCTGAGTTGTTTTCCGCCATTGCTTCCTCTCTTTTTTTAATTGCATCTTCACATAAACTAGGCCACATGATGCAACAAACTTTAAGATTCACCAGGTAAGATTCTGGTGGAAAGGGCTGGTACATGGGTGGTTTAAATGGATATTTGCCGGCACCGTAAATTAAGGGTATAAAAGCAGCATTTTCGTGAACAAAAGCGATATCCTCGGGAGGCGGAAAGATAGCAAATGGCGAAACTGTACTTTCTGTTTCTGAAGCAGTAGACGATTTTGATGTATTTTCGTTGCTTGTAAGACCAGTGGTTTGTTCTGCCGATTTGCTTGATTGACTTGCTTGTTCATCTTCATTTGTGGTAAGGTCAGTTATCTCGGTTGTCGACATTTGTTCTGTTGTGTGTTCAGTAGTTTCAGTTATCTCGGTTGTCGACATTTGTTCTGTTGTGGGTTCAGTAGTTTCAGTTATCTCGGTTGTGGACATTGATTCTGTTGTGGGTTTAGTAGTTTCAGTTTTCCCCGTGGTCGACATTAGTTCTGTTGTGGGCTCAGGGGTAACATTTGCATCAGTTGTCGACATTGGTTCTGTTGTGGGTTCAGTAGTTTCAGTTATCTCGGTTGTGGACATTGATTCTGTTGTGGGTTTAGTAGTTTCAGTTTTCCCCGTGGTCGACATTAGTTCTGTTGTGGGCTCAGGGGTAACATTTGCATCAGTTGTCGACATTGGTTCTGTTGTGGGTTCAGTAGTTTCAGTTACTACGATTGTCGACATCATTTCTGTTGTTGGCTCAGTAGTTATATTTTCTACGGTTGTCGACATTGGTTCTGTTGTGGGTTCAATGGTTTCAGTTGCTTCGGTTGTCGACATTGGTTCTGTTGTGGGCTCATTAGTTTTAGTTGCCTCAGAAGTCGACATTGATTCTGTTGTGGGTTTAGCAGTTTCAGTTGTCCCCGTGGTCGACATTAGTTCTGTTGTGGGATCAGGGGTAACATTTGCATCAGTTGTCGACATTGGTTCTGTTGTGGGTTCAGTAGTTTCTGTTATCTCGGTTGTGGACATTTGATCTGTTGTGGGTTCCGTAGTTTCAGTTATCTCGGTTGTGGACATTGATTCTGTTTTGGGTTCAGTAGTTTCTGTTGTCCACGTGGTCGACATTAGTTCTGTTGTGGGCTCGGGGGTAACATTTCCATCAGTTGTCGACATTGGTTCTGTTGTGGGTTCAGTAGTTTCAGTTACCTCGGTTGTCGACATTGGTTCTGTTGTGGGCTCAGTAGTTTCAGTTGCTACGGTTGTCGACATTGGTTCTGTTGTGGGCTTAACAGTTTTAGTTGCCTCAGATGTCGAAATTGATTCTGTTGTAGATTCAGTAGTTTCAAATGCACCGGTTGTCCGTTCTGTTGTTGTTTCAGTAGTTTCAGTAGTTTCCGTCGCATCGGTTGTAGACATTGGTTCTGTTGTAGATTCGGTAGTTTCAGTTGTCGACATTGGTTCTGTTGTAGGTTCAGTTGTTGCAGTTACCTCGGTTGTGGACATTAGTTCTGTTGTGGGCTCAGTAGTTTCTGTTGCTTCGGATGTTGACATTGGTTCTGTTGTAGGTTCCGTAGTTTCGGTTGCACCGATGGTTAACATTGGTTCTGTTGTGGGCTGAATACTTTCAGTTACTACGGATGTCGACATTGGTTCTGATATGGGCTCAGTGTTCTTATTTGCATCAGTTGTCGACATTGGTTCTGTTGTAGCTTCGGTAGTTTCGGTGGCCTGGGTTGTCGACATTGGTTCTGTTGTAAGCACAGTGGTTTTTAATGCCTCTGTTGTCGATATTGGTTCTGTTGAAGGTTCATTAGTTTCAGTTGTGGATAAAATTTCTGTTGTGGGTTCAGTGGTTGCAGTTGCCTCGGACGTCGACATTGGTTCTGTAATAGGTTCTGTAGTTGTAATTGCCTTAGATGTCGACATTGGTTCTGTTGTAGTTTCAGTTACTACAGTTGTCGACATTGGTTCTGTTGTAAGTTCGGTTGGTTCAGTTAATTCGGTTGTCGATTTCGACTCTGTATATTGAGTAGCTTTAGTTGTCGATATTGCTTCTGTTGTAGATTTAATCAATTGGACAGTTTCTGAAGTATGTTCGTCAGGCATTCTAGTGTCGGTAGTTGAAATCAGTTTTGTAGTAAGCTCTGTCCATGACATAGAATTATTTTTCTCATCTGCTGTTTGAATGTTTTCATTCGTTTCATCTGGTTTTGGAAATTTGTCAGTTTCGGGAGTTTTTTCATTTGAAGTTGCAGATGATGGTGGAACAGCCGCGATTTGGGAAATTTTGTCTTTCTCGGTAACTGTAGATTTTTCCTTAGCAGGTGTTTTGTCTTCTTGAGACGGACCTTTTGATCCTTGTTGTTTGAGCGTTTCTGTATGATTGTCCCAGGCATTATCGCAGACGTCCGACCAAGTTGTGCAACTATATCGTAATTTGTCAAGTGTCTTTTTAGGTGGTATGGGCCGACGCCGAGGTTTTATGAAAACCAAACGCCTACCACCATAAACCAATGGTATGAAAGGAGAATATCGATAGACAAAACGAACTACACGAACGGGTGCTTTGTATGAAGACACCCATTTAAATCCTGGATATGATAGTCCTGAGATATATGGAGTATTGAATTTTCGTTTAAATGGATTGTATTTATTCCACAGGTTTGATACGGTATCCCACAAATTATTGGTCACCGCCGGTTTGGCCCGTGGTTTTGACGGTCGTCTATAATATTGGTATGATCTCCTTGATGTCTGTTGATAACTATTTTGCCTTGAAGGTTGGCGATAATAAGGTCGATGAGCATATCTTTTAAATAATTTGTGGTGTTTCTTTGGTGATCGTGGTTGAAATGCTCGGTGAATAAAGAACTGAGGAGGAACACTGTTTTGAACGGATGCGTGATCTGGATCATGATTCAGGGTTCGAGTATAATATACCTTTTTCTTGTCGGACGATATACTTCTTGTACTACCAATGTGTATACAATCTGAAAAAAGAATTATCGACTTTAGTTAAAACCCAATGAAGGGAGATACAAAAACATGCCAATATGATATAGAAGTCAAAATACGATCGGAGCGATTCAGGCTGTACTTTTTTTTTAAAATCATTCCAAACAGGGAATCAGGAACCAGCAGAGTCAGGGACAATATTTTTTAAACAATATAGGAATGTGTATTAAAGTTGGAAAGCAAAATGTTATTACGGTCCATATATTAATAATAAATAATTAATAATAATTTATTGCATCTATAATGCCTCAGCAGTCCATATAAAATAGCAGCTCAGTGATACGGTACAGGGATAACAACTCCAGGTTGATGAAGATGCTTTCTATAGCTGGTATTTGGCAAAATTTCTTGGCATTTATATTTCCCAGATTATCCGTACCCATCTTCAACAATTTGATAACTGTTTTTTATATATGAGAAAGAAAAGACTTACCTAAAAAGAAGAACGTTACAGTTACTAACGACAGTTTCATTGTTCCCGACTACTAAGATTTTACAATAGAAAACACTAATTGTTTATTTTGTAATATGACATTATATACTCCTTGAAAACTTATGATGTCATGGTTATTTCCTGTGAATATGTAATTTGCTACCATTATTAAAGAATGAAGGTCAAGATTTTTCTTAAAGGTCCGAATTGAAGTACTTAAGGGAACAGATTCGCCATCTGTTTGAGCAATCATACCTCAGTCTCAGAAAAGTATTTGTTTTTAGCTAAGTTAATCAGTAATAGTGTTCACAGCTCACCAAATATATTTAGGCTTTCAAATCTATGTATGTAGAGAATCATCCGAGTTTGAAAGTTAAAATGGCGACTCGTCTTTTCTTGAGACTCTGTCATATAGAAATAGAAAAAGAAGAATTCCTAGTTTGGGTATTTGTCAACGAATTTACGATTTTACATTTGAGGCGCATGCATTCCCCTCATTTCATAACAAGGGATATTATGGCCCATGTTTTGTTCTGAAAATTACCCCTTTCTTCAGTAGTTTTCCTTTACCAAAAGCCATTCTAAGATTTTAGTAGGCTTACTAATTAGGAGATTAATGTAAAATTAATAAGCAAAATACGATTTAGAAACCAGTGCTAGTATTATCCAAATATAAAATGAATATTTTCATATCCCCCTCCAATATCATAATCAAATATATATTATTTTATGTGCATTTGCATAATGAATTCTAGAATTTTAAATAACCTTCCTTTAACCAATATATTTGTGTAAGAATCGTGATTTGGAAAGCAAGGTCATCAGGAATACGATACAGGCGTATTGTACAATATACTTTAAAAACCTCGTGTCAGGTCATTTTAGATCCTGGTTCACGTACCATTCCAATTATAATATGCGTCATAGATCTTAAATCAGTTTTTATTATTGTTATAAGGTATAGAATATAATTGATTTTAGAATGGAATATGACTTTCATATGGTTTACTTCATATGACCTTGTTTGCAAGATGGCGATTTTGTAGTATGAAGAGAGGTTATCAACGAAACTAAACTAGAAAGGCGATTTATATAGGACCCACTACAGCAATTAATTATGTAGTCCGTGCTCTTTTTGATATCCTCTTTTTCCCTTCCTCCCTCTTGGGGGTTTTGCATGCCTTTTTTTGACTAAGTTTTGGTCTTGATTTGGAATTTAATGCCCGGAATTGTATTTTCTTCAGATTTTGTGAGATGATAAGAGATTTTCATGCTGAAGAATAATTCTAAAAATAGTGATTTGTGTGCATGTACAATCAAATGGATGTTGATAAAATGTGGTGACTTTCAGTTTGGCTAGTTCAGGATTTTCACGGTCTTGATATATTGAATTTTTGTCAAGAAACTAATTCTTGGCCAGGCTTTCAGGTGACATATTGGAAAGTTTTCAACGATATTTCTGGAAAAAGGTAGAAATTTAACATGGAAAGATGGCAAATGAATTACCGGAGTGTGTCCTGTCTGTATCGAAATTTATATTTGTCGGAATGGAAATGGATTTTTGCTATAACGTCATTATGGGGTTTCATAGGAGGCCGACAGCTTAATTATTTCAAAAGGAGAATACTCGGGGATATGATTTTCTGTATGCATATTATAATAAAGCCCAGTTTAAGCCACTGTAATGCGGCTGATCTTTTAACTCTTCAACGGTATTTAATGCAAAATGAGCACAATTACAAATTATTTTGAAGTGTCGAGAGTAAAAGTTTTCTATATATTCTCCGAAGAGAAGTACCATCAGGTGTTTCGAAAAGAGTGAGCATGCTCTGCTTCGCACTCAAATTCCGTTTTCTTCTGTTTGGACATATACTGCCAACCTGTAAAGATCTAAGGTTTCATGAGAAGCAAAGCGATGGTGTATCAATGTTTAATTTGTTATTATGGTTTTACAAATCCATTATTTTTTATTATATTTCTGTAAACATCTACAGACTTTCTGGGTGCACGAGTTCTGTTTGGGTTGGTGAAATCCACATAATATAATCCAAATCGCTGTGTGTAGCCCATTAACCATTCAAAATTATCCATCAAAGACCAGGCAGTGTACCCTTTAACATTACAACCATCTATTTTTATAGCTGAAAAGGAAGAAACGTTAAACTTTAATATCATTCAACAGCATTCTTAGAAATGGAATTGAAAATTTGATCACATCAGAGCTGCATTTGGTATTTTCATGCGACCAAAGAGTTTAGATAATCAATGTTTTTAACGAGTGAGCATGTCATGCTTTGATAAGAACACTACAGTTTATGTAGTACAGAGTCAAAAATATAACAAATCTTATCGCGGTGGTACACTAGGTATTTTGTACGACCAGGGCATACTGGTTCAAGAGTTCCGATAGGGATCTTAAAGGTGCGGGCACGCGAGCAGTCTTGGTAGGAGATTTTTGTTTCAGACTCAAATATTAAGTAAAATCTCGCGTGATAACAAGATTATCTCGCGCCACATGATTTATAATCAAGTTTGATAATTGTCTCTGAGAGTTTGCAAGACAGACCGCCATCGTCCAATCAGATTCATTTTGCTGTCAATTGCATGGTCCGTACGTGATTATCGACTGGAGATTTTTGTCTCCTCGTGTGCCCGTGCCAGTCGTTCAAGCTCAAACTCAAGACAAGGCTATATTCGGCGACAAAATTCTCCTCAAGATATGAATTATTGACAGTCTTAGCTTCCAGCAAAATCACTGGCTTATTGCTCTGTGATTTTAGCCAATTGATAAATAGAATACAGATGACATTTTAAATTAACATCGTTTTATGACATATGGATCATAACAAAGCTATTAGAAGCAATTTGTAAATAACGTTAATATACATACCTTTCATAAGTTCATTGATATATGAAGTATAATAATGTATTCTGCCTTTATCGTTCGAACCTTCAATATCTGGTCTACCACTTTCAGTTATAATAACAGGCGGGTTGTTATATTTCACTTTCACATAATTTAATAACAATCTTATACCACGGGGATATTCATTTAACCAATCTGCTGGCGTTCTGAATAATAACAAAACATAACCACTCATCGTTGACGTCATTTAGTAAAGGTAACCACAGTTCGACTTCGTCGAGTAGCTACATTGAGGAAAAATACTGAAAACCGACCAATTCCATTACTGCAACTAAAAACCATGCACCACTATCCCTCCTTATATATTACTAGCCTTTTCCTTGGTTCGACTTGCGATTTAAAGCTACCATCGAAATGCTCATAATATCATTTGTCTGATTAGTAACAATCCTTTTCAACTGTTCAGATTCAGAATACTCAGATAAACAAATCAATTTTTGCTAGAACTAGAACATTTTTCGGGCTCGGGGATTCTAGCGGACAGAAGGAATATCTAATATGTTGACTTCTAAAAGGTGAAGAGGTTAGAGTTCCAATCAAAAACTGAGATTGATTTGTCATACTGGTGTGAGTACACGACTGGTGCGAAAAGAGTGAATCGAATCCACAAACTTATACCAAAAACTTCAAAAAGGACACTGAAGCAGCACTCACTTTCCCCAGCATGAATCATATCGAGTTTCTATTTCTTGATCCTGTTCGTAATCCGGTTCAGAATCCGGGTTTGGTTTATTAGAGATCATATGAGTGGTATAATGGTTGATACCCAGAAAATCATAAGCACCTGTAAAGTATCAATGATCATCAAGTATATGTAGTGAAAAAAAGCTTTCGGAAATCATAGTCTGTGCCATCTTCAAAATGGTCAGGGTATTACGAACTTCGTCTTATACCTTGAGAAGATGGGTCTCAACAAAATCAATATCAATATCAATATGTTGCTGGATAAAGTTTAGTGGTAGAAAACTACATCCTGGATCAATGCATATTTTATGACACATGTCTGCTGTTTCAAGGATAAATGTCGCAACAGACCTTATTCAAGCGTCGGCCATGTTGAATCAAGAACGAAGCTCATAACGCAAACGGTAAGGTTATGTCACTGAATAACATCGTCAACTTGACGTCTTTAAAACTTCCTTCTCCAATCCCCACTAACTCAAAACTAATCATATTTTGCATCATTAAATTTAAAATTGATGAAACTTTTTTACGATACTTTAACATAAATTTTACATCCACACATTTCCGAGAAATTGCAGTGTAAAGCCCAGTTTCTCGCTGTGTGTGAGTGTTTAAATAATGTCAAATTGGTTATTCATGCATCGCCATCTTATTAATGGATGATAACGTACTTATGCGTTATGAACCATTTCTGGCGTAACGTCAACTGTTTTCATACAGATGCCATTTTGAAGGCAAATTGGTCGTCACGAGCCTTCGTTATTCTTTAATATATGACCCAGGTTACCTTTATTAATTTTCTTTTCCTCTTCTGTGAATGTGGGTAACCTGGACGTGCCGTGACTTTTTCTCCCAACATAATCTTTCATAATCTGTGGGTAGTCCCCATTTTCCAGAATAGCATTAGCAAACAAACCAAGTTTAAACTGTAAAGCTCTTTCAGCAGCTAAAGCATCTTCAGTTGACATAGTCAGAGGTTGCTTCCATTCGATATCAAGTGTTATGCCTACTTGACCTGTGATAAGAAAATTGTGGATAAGATACAATATGGCTTTCAAAATTGTTGATGTGATGGTAAAGATTAAACTTGAATTGGGTGCTTATGTGTTTTTTATTTAGGAAAATTTCAGGGAAAAATATCTAGTCCCCTGGTTCTAAATCGGGAGTACTAGAACCTGCTGGTGGTACCAGAAAGCGTCCCAATGGTAAATGAATAGCTCTACGGACGGTTTAAGTAAATGTTAAAATAGCACCCACCGTGATATCTTGTTTTGAAATGGTTATTATAAGTATGGTATACTCGACTGTGAGATCGAATAATATTATGTGCTGCTCGATATACGCCAACACCCGGACTATGAACACCAGGTGCAAATATACCGTTACCGTATCCTAACCACGATACAACATAAGCTTCATTAAACGTCAACCAATATTTAACCTGAATAATATTATGATCATGATGAACGCATTTGTTGACTAAAGGCAAACTTTTATTTGTGACACAGGAGTGATCCCAGCCGATAACAAACCCATGCACCAATATCTTCGAGATCTTGACTTCAAATTAACATGGTGGCCCAGTGAGTCGTTAATCAGGGATTCAGGATTCCATCCCGGAAACGCAACATCTTGGAGACATAAAGGCAGACGTATAAGATACCATTGAATCGAATAAGGATAGGTTAATACCGCTGTTCTGGCAAAATACCCATCAGTGCACATAACATGATGTTATCCGTCAACCAGGAGAAGGACATACAATTCCATTAGATTCATTCATCATTCATCATTTTTCTTTCTAAAACAAATAGTCTCACACACAAACTTACCCTATTACCAAACTGTTCAAAACAGACCCTAGCATAAGCATCAAACCAATCAGCAATGGAGTCATTCAGCCAACCACCATGTTTCTGTAAACCTGATGGTAGATCCCAATGATATAGTTTTACCATAGGCTCTATATTATTGGCTATCAGCTCATCTATTAGATTACTATAATACTCTATTCCTTGCTGATTAATTGATGATGGTGTACCATCGGGCATAATTCTACTCCACGATATTGAAAACAGATAGTGTTGGACCTACACAGAAAAAATAATGAATTGAGGTATGTCTTCATACATCATGTTCTGTAAACTTTACCAGATTATCACATCAATATCGCAAATAGCTATTCAGAATGGTCCAAAATGGAAGATATCGTTGTTCCTGATAGATATAAAAGGCTAGGGAATCTCTTTTGAACCTCTTATATAGTCTACAGATTGAATCTATGAAACTATTCCCAGCAGAACATACCCCAAGATGAACCAGCAATTGCACATCTTCCTTATATTTATGATAACTGTCACAAGCTACATCACCGTTATATCCATTAGCTATTCGACCTGGTTGGTGAGCAAAATCATCCCAGATACTTGGTCCTCTACCTATAGTTATAAGTTATTGTTATGTTTAAGTTCTACTGTTGGAAAGCTAGCCCCATTTCCCTGCTAGTAATGTTATGAAACATGTATTAGGGGCGTAAAATGAGTTTTTGTAAAAGAGATGAGTCTACAGTATAGTGCTGACAAAAAAGTCAGTAGTTTTCAATGAATTTTAGAAGGATCAACTGCTTGTGAATTGTGTTTATCAAATATCATAATATGACCATATATCACTTTTTAAAGAGAAATATTTTGGGAAGATTATTACCTCCTTCATTCCATCCACCTTCTACTTGATAAGCAGCAGTTGCGGCGCCAAACATAAAATCTTTGGGAAACTGACCATAAAGGAACTCATTTGCATCCTTTGGAGCTTAAAATTGATAAAATAGAGATAAATTTGATGTGACAGCTAGCTAAGTTACTTTATAAATGTCAGAAACACTTCGCTTCACATTTCGCTAAAATATTGGTTACGGCCTTTTCTTCCCGCAATGTAATGATAAAGGCAAAAATTAAAGTAAAAGAAAGTGCCAATGCAGGGTGACCAAATCCATGCAATGTGTTGTCAAAACACATTTGCCTAGTTTACCTTCCAGTTTACACGAAAAGAAGCTATATATTAAAGGAATCCTACATCTTAGAATTAACATAAAACTTTGTGGATAAGAGCATATATTCATCAGTAGATATACCTGGTGTCATAAATAACATAACAGGATCTTTATATAATACGATAAATCCAAAAAACTTGTAATTATCCATACAAATGCAATTAAATATCGAAAAACGTGTAATATTAAGATTTTTCAATAATTACAATTTTCTAGATTTTCCAGGGATTCTATTATAACTTTATGACACCAGGTAAGTTCACTGATGAATAAATACTCATATTGACCATTCTTGAGAACTTAAATTTTATGTTCATTCTAATATGTAGTAATGTAGAAAGACATGATGCACTTCGAATAACCAGTCATGAAAAAACCTAGAAACTTTCAAAGACTTGAATACTGCACGTCTTTTATTATTTTTCACTTACTGACTCTGAAGTCTAGAATTTCTTGAGTAAACCCTTTCGCTTTACACAGTTTCTGGTAGAAGTAAGCCGATGCTTTTGGAAATCTGGGTAGTTCGGGCTGAGTGAAGTCTACATAGAATAACCCCATTTTAACACCATATCCTGAATTCCATTCATAGGAATCGGAATAACTCCACAAGAAATATCCCTTTATAGGACATCCATCATTTATAGCTGAAAGTATAGTAATTATCAAGACTGGTAACTAAAAATAACTCAGTCCGCATTACTAATCATTAAGCTAGGTATCAACGCCACTGAAATCCCGCTTGTGATACGAGTCAATATGTTTTGAACGATTTATTACGCTCGTATGCGATCTGTTCACGATTTGTCAATTCTCGGTGTCAATGTATGATCTGGGGACAAAATGCGTTCCGAATAGGATTGTTTGGTTAACTTCCCCGATTGGTTCTCGATGTGAAAAGATCAACACGATCGGGTTCCTCAATTCAGGACTATCTGCTACTTACAGAAACATTCCGATGCGTTCATCAATAACAGGTGAGCTTCGTTACGATAGAATACGAATGTGATTAGGGAGACCGATTTGAGTTATGACTTGATCCTGACGAGAGAATTCCAATACGACTCTCCTATACAGGATTGAAGCAATACCTTCTAACAAGTTATTGGTATAATATTTGATGTAGTCTATTCTTTGTTGATCCCATGTTGTTCCACATTCTGCTAGTCCATTTTCAGTGACGTAGATGTTAATATGTCCATATGTCTTCTTCATATAATTCATCAGTTTTCTTAATCCCCATGCATAATTCCTAAACATTACATATTTAGAGCAAATAGGGTTAAGAACACCACATTTCTATTTAACCCTTTGACCAAATGATGCAAAACTAAAGAGCAGATGGAAAAGCTACAACAGTGAGCCATCTCTAAGATATCCACAAGCAAACTCTGACCATACCAAGACGTAATATTCGGCGTGTCATCAGCGTGTATCGAGTGTGGGAAATAAGTAGGGCCAGGTTGTCAGGTTAGATATCTTAAAGATATTAGAGACTCAAAGCAATCTGATTAAAATGCAGATGTTGATGCTTTGTTCCATGTTTTTTCCACCATTGAGTCATCTTGTCATTGACCACAGTTGTATTGCAAGGGACGACATTTCTGAGTGGCGTAAAAAATATACCCGATCACAAAATTGTTACCACGAGCAAGGACTGATTACTTAATTGAAATCTTACATGAACACATTCGAGATCATACGATGACGGTCATAAGGGACCGTTCTAAATGCTTCATTAGCCCACATGGTGCAGAAAGTAGGACGTAAAACTTTTTCATTTCATTTTAATTCTATATGCTGTTGTAAATGGAGGACATCATAATGTAACACCGATTTATAAAAAAACACTACTTCTGTTTACTTACTGTGTTGAAAGAACTTTGACATTTTGTTCGTTAAAAAATCCATTTATCGTGTTATCGATATTTTGATGTTCTACGATATTTGTGCTGTAGTGGTTTATTCCAAAGAAATCTACCGTTCCTGAAACATGGAAGAAACCACATTGACATAACATGAAAACATTTCTCAGAAAAGGGCTATGTCATTTCTGGAGACTGTGCCTCGATCGTTGAGTGTTATTTTTTTCTTTTTACCTGGATAACTATGCCTATCGTTATGTCCTGTAGTAATTAGATGTCAATCACGTGATTTATTCTATTGCTACTCATTACTATTCCTGATTACTTTTTGTTATTACTATTTACAAGTATTTTAATTTATCATTCTTGCTACTTACTTCGGTGTTTCTACATCTGTATTTCAACCTTTAGATTGCTTTTAGCGTCTATTGCTTAAAGATTATTACTATTTTTAAGTTATTTCCCACTTTAGTAAGCTATATATTAGATGATTCTTAATAGGTAATATATTAAAATTTCCAGGATACTTTACAATATTAGAAGTTTTGTATGTTCTTTGGGGTGTTTGTTTATATGGTGCCAATAGTTTGTAAATTCATTTAGTGTTATCTATTCTTATTAGTGTAACTTTAAAGGAATTATAAAATGTTATTATTAGTGTTTGAAAATATCAAGTATAATCGAGTCAGCTGTATTAATAATTATATCATGTATGTATTATATCTTTTATTTATATTTATACCTATATATATATATATGTTGCAGTGAACGAGCTATAATAAAAAAAATAGTATCAGCTAAGGCAGCGTTATTAATTCAACACCCCAGATAAAATGACAGGCTATCCGAGCCGAGATCAAACATTGGACCTCAAGAGAACAAGCTTATAAGAAGCTGCGACTACCTCGTAAAACCTGAAACATATGTATACCTAAATGGGATAATAAAAAAACGTTAAACAGAGCGCAATAATGGACAAATCTTGCCTGTGCAGTGACATTAGCTTATTTCTTCCAACGGTCGAAGGAATCTTTAACCTTCACAGCCCTGCAAAAAGTGCCAGTTGTTTTCGTATTGAACTTGGTTCCCGTAAGATTTCTTTAAACCTTTTAGTTCTTGATTTTACTGCCGTTTGGTGTAAAAAAAAATCCAAAAGGTTTGGAACCATGGAAAGTTCTTGTAAAATTGGATAAAAACGTGTGCTGGCCGGTCTGAACATGAGGCTATGGTATAGATTCAATTCATACCTTTATTTCTGGTTATTTCCGTCTGAGTAAATTGTGGAAGTTTAGATGTAGTTCGTCCCTGAGCGTTACTCTTCAATGCAATCATCACTTTCATCAGATCTGGATAGTCCCCAAAGATCAATGGATCAGCAAACCACCCAATTCTAAAAGTTAAAGCTCGTTGTGCTGCTGCTTGGTTCCTCTCACTATCTGTAACTGGTTCTTTCCATTCCGAATCTAGGGTAATACCAACTTGACCTGTTTTTTAGAATCAAGAACAAGTAATAGAAAGACTTCCATTCGTCATTTGATGTATTGAAAACTCTTTAAGAGTAAAAATATAATTCATTTATGGATTTGTGGATTATGTACTATCATAATAAACGATATTGAAGGGAATTTCAAGCATATTTCAGTACTTACTATATCGACTATACCTTCAAAGAGTACTATTCAAAATCAAAAAAGTCTGATCACTTTGACCTCTATCTATGACACCTGATGCCACTGTGCCACCAAACCAGGTTTAGCTGTCGAAGTCCTTAATAGCTAAATACCGCAAGTTAGTCGTTCCCATCCTTACCTTTCTGTACGTGTTTATAAGTTTTATTATATAAATAATAAGCTTCTACATGGGATCTAATGAGATTGTGAGCTACTTTATACATAACAGCTGAATCTTTAATACCAGGAGCCATTTCACCATTTTCATGTCCCATCCAAGATGTTATAAACGGTTCATTAAATGTTATCCAGTTTTTAACCTGAAATATTTAAGATTTAACAAAATCTTCTCAACAATTAATTTCATACACTCTTACTTAGCATGTATACCGTGTCTATTAGTACTCTAGAGGTTTCTAATACCTATGGACACTTTCCACTTTCCAGATCGAAAACAAAAAAGGGGTGGCAGTTTTTACAGGATTTGATTGTCTTATTAAATAATAATTAAAACGTAATCATATATACCTCAATTTGGAAGAAATCCAGTCTAAAGTAAAAGGAATCCATAAAGAATTAAAAATGTTGCGGGTGCTTACCCTGTCTCCAAACGATTTGAAACATAAATCTGCATAATTTGCGAAATGCTGAATAACAGTGTCACTAGCCCATCCACCATGATCCTGAAGACCTTGTGGTAAATCCCAATGGTATAACGTGACGAACGGGGTGATGTTATATTTCAACAGCTCGTTGATAACATCGTTATAATGATCTATACCTTTCTGGCTAACGTTGTTTGTAGTACCATCTGGTAACAGTCGAGTCCATGCTATTGAGAATCTGTAGTGAGTAACCTGAATATGTAGAATGAATGAAATATTGAAAATAGTTATATATAACAACAATAAAAGCTACCACACATGAGTACTGCACAATAATTCATTTACGAATAGGAATAACCAAAAAACTGTCGGAGTTTAAAACAAAATAAAAAACAATGCTGGAAGATGAACTTGTGATGGACAATGTGATTATTGAAGGCATCGTTTGATCGATAGAGCCTTACTTTGAGATCATCCGAATCATGTCGTAATGAACTAATTCTTCTGATTATTCTTTTGTGAATAACAGAAAAAAATTGTGATGATAAAGAATATAATTATAATAATTGAACTATTATTTTTCAAAATCGAAATAAGTTACCCCGAGCCATTTAATATTCTGAATATCTTCTTTATATTTATGATATTGATCAATAGAGACATCACCAGTTTCACCGTTTACTGTTTTACCAGGTGTATGTGAAAATACATCCCATATACTCTTTCCTTTACCTTTAAATAGATTATCAAAAAGTTTCACCATTGTGGAATGCATGTAATCGAAGAACCCAAATCGACAAATTCCTTTATCAAGTCGAAAACCGCAAGTCGGCAACATTATGGGATGGGCATGAAAATTGTATCGGTTAACACTATTTTGTATACATACAACAACTCATCTGGCACGCATTCAGTAGGGATTGTGATATTTTTCCCGTAACACCATTCTCCAAAATATTTTGTTAATTGTTAATTATTGTTAATCACTTCCTTGTTTAAGCTTCAATTGAGCTCCATTAGCAGAATAAGCAAATGAGCTGAATATAGCTCTTAAAACCGCTTACCATCTTCATTCCAAGCTCCTTCAACTTGATATGCTGATGTAGCCACACCAAACGCGAACTCATCTGGAAACTGGCCTAAGATAAGTTTGTCTGAATCTGTGTGGTTTTTGGCAAGTATTGTACATACCACACTTGTAAATATCAGCAGCAAATACACCATGACCTCTTATAAAATATTTGAAACAATCGATTAGACCAGCAGTACTAAAATTAAACACACAGATGTGTATCTAAAAAGGTGGGAAACTCTGATTAACAACATGATTCAAGTTCTGTTTTAATATTTCTGTATCGCTCTACAATTGTATTGAGCACTATTTTAACAGTGAAAGTATAAATAAGTCGAACAATAGGGTATGATGCTGTAAAGTCTTGTCTGGACGCTTCATTATCAGGATTTTTAAAAACTTACCGCTAAAGATAATAAGAAATTATGACAACATGACTTCCATGGTTCAGAATGAAGACAGTCATACAGTTTTATTGCGGCTTCATAAAAGTAGGAGGTAAAGGAAGATAAATGGTATTTGGGAGGGGTGTAGATAATACAATCCATGTTTTTCCGGCGTCGGACATAACATTGGTGTTTTTCAGAATACATTCAAGAACTGGGACAAGTCAACGCTTTCATATAATGGTAGACCAGTAGGTCCCAATATTTCGACCCCACCCTGAAATAATACCGATCTTGTTCATCTGTGCGTCTCTTGAACATTTTTTTTTTGTGGTCAATCTCAGGACCAGCTCGTTGACCAATATTATAGATCTTTAATGGAAAATTTAATAAAAATTTTGATTTTCTTACCTTCGTACAACAGAAATGTGCACTGGTAAATGGGTTTGTTCAACTCTTGGGTGACCCAAATTTGATTATCAGTACGCTACGAATATTTGTGTATCTGGGTAAACGGTAAAGAATTTCATAAATTTGATGTTAATTTATTGACGCAGTTTTTGTAACATATGGTGATGGTTTTTGATCATGGTAGTCGTCGTCTAGGTTTGAAGGTAAATTTGTTTAAATTATTTGATAGTGCTGCAATATCCTGTCTCTGTTGCTGCCACTTGTAATGGTTCTCTTAGGATTCGAAAGATTGCATTCTGTTATTCAAATATACCAAGCTTGCTTAAGTTAAGAACCATGATAACAAGGAGTAAAACTACTAAGAACAGCAGAAGATACCGATAATTTATTGCTTCTTCGTTTCTATCATTTAATCCAATTTAGTCCAAATTGTTAACATCAATCAAAAATGTTGCTAATGTATTTCTTAATAATATTTGCAGATGAATTTCCTTTTGATCATCATCCTTACGATTTCTTTCGGTGGAACTGCAGGATACCCTTCTGATAATTTGATAGAGGGAACCTTCCCTTCTGACTTTATATTTGGTATTTCTACATCAGCATATCAAATAGAGGGTGCATGGAATGTCGATGGTAAGCTGCAGATAGGTTTAAAATAGGTTTTTAATCATTTAGATCACGGAGAAGGGACGACTCAATTCCCCTTAGTGAACACTATGGTGGAGTAGATACTCCATCTAGAAATGGCCGTGTGTAAACTTTTTATGTTGGCACTGTGGACGATTGTGTGACACGAATAAGCTGAGAGCATCTTGATTTTAAACTACTGTTGATGAAATTTGCTGTAATGGTGCAGGAAGATATCGCTGACTGGAAAATCGTTGTTAATGCCAGTTTCTCGTATTGTACTCCCTTTTCCAAACTAAATCCTACAGTCATGCCGAGTGTTCAGATTTTAAATGCCTTCTTGTTGACGGTTAGAAGGAGGCGATATTCCAACATCGACCAATCCGATGAGATGCTTTGAATCGCCTTGCTCCCCCCTTACAAGTAGTACAATATGATATTTTCCGAGTTAGTATTCTTTCTTGATCCTTACTTCCTAATGAATTCTAGGTAAAGGAATGAGTATCTGGGATAATTTTACCCACACACCAGGTAAAACACAAGGTACTGGAGATGTTGCTGATGATAGTTACTATAAATATCCACAAGATATACAGCTACTTAAAGATTTAGGGGTAAGGATGTTAGGAGTGAACGTTTATCTAAGACATAGTAGAACACGCCGTTTTAACGTCGTTTCATACGAAGCTATTTTGATAAAGTGAACGACGATCCATCTATTGAATAATAATGGTCATGGAGAAAATAATGATGACTGAGGGTAGGTGCTAACTGTAAATATTCACCAAAAGAATATTTGGACTTATCGTGTACATAATATTCTGGCTAACATGTCTAGTTGTTTTTTATATTGTTTTTCTTGATTTTCAGATAAAGAATGTGCGAATATCCATTGCCTGGGCACGATTGTTACCAGACGGTACAATAGATAATATAAATCAGGCCGGTATAGACCATTATAATAAAGTTATTAATGAACTGATAGCTAATGGTATAACACCGTTTGTAACACTTTACCACTGGGATTTACCACAAAAACTACAAGATGATGGTGGATGGTTAAACAGCACTATTGTTCAGAGATATCAAGAATTCGCTGATCTGTGCTTTAAGAGCTTTGGTGATAGAGTAATTCTTTTCTTTTTTGTCAGTCTCCAGCATTCTAATGCAGATCTAAAATTATTCTTTAATTCGTGCCGAAATTTTACCTAACGACGATAAGATAGTGACGTATTTTTCAAGCTTCTATGGCTTGTTCTTTATAACCCCAGGAAATCACCCTTCTGTCGCCTTCTTTGGACATTTCTGAGGGGTACACAAGGTAATACTGTAATTGTGTTTCTGGTACTTTCCTTGCTGACTGCTATAAAACCTTGACAATCTACCAAAACTATCTTACAGGTTAAATCTTGGATAACATTCATTGAACCGTTCTGTATATCATATCTTGGCTACGAAGCTGGATCATTCGCCCCTGGTGTTAAAAACAATACAGCAGTATATATTGCCGGTCACCATGTTTTACTGTCACATGCTGCTGCCTACAGATTGTTTCAAAAGAAATACCCCGGAACAGGTTAGGGAAGTTGATATATGTAATATGATATAAGTTGGGTGACATTGGAAGAGATACCAGAAGATACGTTAATAAGTGGATGCAAATGCAAAAATCAAAAAGTTTAGGTTTTTGGACCACCTTGTCATGAATAGCAAAACTTACAGCAAAGGCAAAAATGGCATTCTTAGGTTTTTTTTTCAATTTTGAATAGTAAAGGATTTATATGTGTTGTGGGGCATTAAAAGTAGCCCCTTTGTTCTTATGTAGTCATATAACTAAAAATTCATGAAGTTGTTGTTCACAGTTGCCACTGTCATTTTGAAATTCAAAAATCTCTTTGCGGTTACAAAATCCTCATCAGGACAGCTGATGCAAAAGAGTAAATTATAAAATCTCATTTCTATTATAGGTAAAATTGGAATCACCGTTGATATCCAATGGGGTTATCCTAAGACAAACAAGTCGGAGGATGTAGATGCAGCAAAACGAGCCGTGGATTTTAGATTGGGCTGGTTTTTACACCCACTGGTGTATGGGTATTACCCACCATCCATGAGGTCAGCAGTAGATAGGAAAAGTACACAACAAGGTTTACCACATTCTAGGTTACCAAATTTTACTGCGTCCGAACAACAATTGATAACAGGTATAAAACATTAGGCCAAAACTTTTGGGTTGGTATATGGTGTCTTATAATAATATGGTATATCATATATACACGCGCCTATTGTGTAAATTTGTTGAACTGATACCATTTAAATGAAATGAAGTGTCACGTCCTACTTTTTCTGCACCGGTTTGAGCTAATGTGTCTAACTAATTCATATTGAAATTCGGACTCTATTGGGATGTTATTCCTTAACTCTATAATACTTAAAAGGTTTGTTTAAAAGTGGTCCGTAGAATTGTTTGTAATCTTGCTTTTATCTGACTTGATTCATCGTAAGATACTAGAGCACAAAGGGATTATGGATATTCATTGTATGTAATATATTCTAGGGGCGTTTGATTTCATTGGTATAAACCAATACACAACCTATTTAGTAGAATATAAGAAGTTATCAGATACTGTACCAGGTTATTATAATGATCAGGATGCTGTTTTTGGTTTCGATCCAGAATGGCCCAAGTAAGTTATTTCCTCTCTTACTAATTAAAATTTGGCAAATTCATAATTTTCCGTCAGATGTCTGTGGTTCCAGTAATGTTTAAGTTATCACTATTGCACTGCTATTAAAGGGAAATGTGCTTTATCACTGATGAACTAAGACTCATTTTTGCCAAGTTTACAAATTTGAAGGCCTTTACATTTGGGACAATAAAAGCTTCCCTTCCCTAAAATGTAATATATGTATTCCCATTGCCCTTATACACATGCTCAGAATTATTGTAATTAGCTGCTTTATATTTTAGAGGTTACCCAGCCAGTGATTTCCCAAGTGTACCATGGGGTATGAGGTTTGTATTGGAACATGTAAGAGATACATATAAGAACCCAGAGGTGATCATCACAGAAAGTGGGTTTGTGGACAATGGAACAATGCAGGATCAAAACCGAATAGAATGTATCAGAAATTACAGTAACAACGTTCTTCAAGGTAATTTTAAATCCGGGGCTGAATTGAGTTTTCTGAAATGTGACCAGTAAACCACTTTAGAATTGTGAATCATGTACACACTGTCAGGTTCTATCACCGATAAATATAAAACCTTGTAGGCAGCACTGGGGCAAAAGTAATTTTTTCCATGTCCCATGAACATTTTTGCAATTGATTGTTTAACATGTATTACGTATTACATCGTCAGATACATTGGCGGCCCCAGTGCACTCACCTTAGGAAAATTGTTTCTATTCCTACTTTCAACCCCTCTTTAATTTTGAAAATATGATTTTTATATGTTTTTTCCTCAAAATATGTGTCAGAAAGCACCAAATCAGTTCAAAAATGTGTTTGAGAGAACCCTTTCAGATTCTTCTCCATCTATTTACTCGACAGTTGTCCCCCCATTCAGTCAGCCTGATCCCTTTTTGTACCCCCAGTCTGAAAATGAAGAAATGAAACGCACATATATATATTGTGATATGATTGAATTATTTCAGCTATTAATAATGGATGTAACGTAAAAGGATATTTTGTTTGGACTCTCATGGATGATTTTGAATGGGTTGATTATATAAAGAAATTTGGCCTGTACTACGTCAATTTCGATGATCCTGAACGAACCAGATACCCACGACCATCTGCCTTCTTCTACTCCAAATTGATCCAGACTAGAGGCTTTGATAAAGATATTCTAAATTTCAGAGCATGTTAGTTTATTTAGGTTGTTACAATGTCTGATTGTCTATTTTTTTAAAAGTTGTAGCTTTCAGATCATCTTGGTGGTTTCTTCCTTCCAAAATGTTTTCTGTTAGCCACAATCCCAGTGATGTAGACAAAATACTTTTGTGGAAAGTTCGAAGCAGCTATAATCTTTTAAGAAATTTGCAAATATGTTTCAGGAATTTTAGTCGTTAGAATGATTCTTTCATATTGTTTGTCTTGCCATTATACCTTTATGACGCATTCCTTTTTTGTGTGATACCTTAAACGAGAAATATGATTTCAATCAAACAATTATTATATTGTAGATCCTAAGGGAAGAGACGAATTTGTTTATGGCACGTTTCCACCAGGGTTTGAATGGGGTTTGGCTACATCAGCTTATCAAATAGAGGGTGGGTGGAATGCTGATGGTAAGTCATTATCAAATCTTTACATGATGCAGATAGACAAAAAAGGGTAGAAATTCTTCAATTGAAGTTTGATCCGGTGAAGTAAAATGCCATGCATTTGACTTTAAGACTTGAGTAAAGCCGTCATACTAACTGGAAAGAATCGAGAATTACTTTTTGGTTTATTTTTTTAAATCCAGCAATTTCTCCTTTCCAACCTTCTGCATGTTCACAGATCCCAAAAATATATACCGGCTGATAATTATAAGTATATATTTTAAGGAAAAGGTCCAAGTATTTGGGATGTCTTCGTTCATTCATCTGGTAAGATCAACCAAAATCAAACCGGAGACGTATCATGTGATAGCTACCATCAATATAAAGCTGATGTACAATTGTTACACAATGTTGGAGTAAGTTGATGTACAAATATTATATAAAGATTATGTACAATTGTAATAATGCCGATGTGAGTCAAATTCTATATTGTGTCGTGGTATATTTCAATTCCTTTTAACAGTATTTTGGTAAGCTAGTGAACATTTATTACATTATATTTGCTTATGTTGATGTACATTTGTTATATAAATTTTATTACGATGACAGGGTAACTTGGGGGTATAATCGGTAGGCATTGACCCTGGCCTCAAGGGGCTTCGGCCTTTCGGGAGATGCAACTATCATGTTTGGCACCCTTCACAGGTATTTTCTAGATACGCCTCTGGGTTTAATGCTGTGGTATGTGTACATCTTTACATTACTTTGTAAGCTGTTGGCTTCATTTGGAAATATGATGTACAGTGCTTGCAATGCTGATATATATTATACAATACTAGGACATTTGTTTGGAAAATTGTTACACATCGATGCTATAAGCTGCTCAATCATAGGACTCACGAATATATTTTCTATTCCAGGTAGCTGTCTACAGGTTTTCAATCTCGTGGCCACGGTTAATGCCTGATGGTACTCCTGCAAGTTTAAATCAAGCCGGTGTAGACTATTATAATAATTTGATTAATGAGCTCATCAAGTACAATATTAAACCTTTTGTCACTTTATACCACTGGGATCTACCACAAGCTCTTCAAACCAAATATGGTGGCTGGCTGAATGATTCCGTTGTAGATGATTTCCGAAATTATGCTGATAAATGCTTTGAACTATTTGGAGATCGTGTAAGTATCCGATGCCTCAAGTTCTACAAGCATGAAGGCTTCACAAAATAAATGTCTCTTTTTTGTGAACTGGGGTGTTTCATTTTTGAAAGTTTTGAAACTGTTAAATGAAATTAACATGCCTTAAAATACAACAAAGTGGAACTTCATGGTTTCTTCAAATACCCCAAATAACAAAATTCTCTATTGTGTGGTAAAGGAGAAGTTTTATCTGGACAATGATAAAAGCCCACTGCTTTCGATTTTTAGCTGTCGAGGGATCTTTAACGTTTACTGCACACGACAAACACTCGAAAAATCCAAGAAACTATTGTGTTCTGCACTTTGCGGAGAATTGTGCTAGCACCGTGAAAAGTTCCTGTGGTCTGAATGTGTCATTGCGCTTTTCAAATTTCAGGTCAAGATGTGGTTAACCCATAATGAACCACCAGTAACATGTAGCAGTGGTTATGAATATGGCAATTTTGCTCCTGGAATACATCAACCGGGTTTTGGTGCCTATCGGTGCTCGTATAATCTTATCAAATCTCATGCAGCCGCTTACCATACCTATGATAGTAAATATAGAGCTAAACAGGGAGGTAATTTGACTTTCGGTTGATATTTGTAATTGAAATCTTATAATCCATCATACACATTGAAATATGTTTCCCGTTTTGATAGTTAGATGTTTGAATTACATTAAAATGAATTGTTCTGATTTTTCAAAATTGCACTCGCTGAAGTCGATATGAAAATTCCAATTAGCTGACTGTCCTATTTACTTTAGTGTGGCCAAATCGAAATGTTATTATAGGCTACTATTTCCCTTCTATATGATCGTCTTATTATTGTAATCATTTCACAGAGCCCAGTTCAACTCTTTTCATTATAAAATGTAGCTTCGCAAACGGTTGGCTGGTTAAACAACATCTAGAGCACATGTTAATTGTGTCTTATGAACTATAAGATACCATTTGATTGTTACTGGAAAATGTTTCAGGGCATATTGGAATCACACTTAACGTTGATTGGATGGAACCAATGACAGAATCTCCAGACGACTTGTATGCTTCTTACAGAGCATTAGATTTTTTGTTGGGATGGTTTGCTAACGCCATATTAGATAATGGCGATTACCCAGACGTTATGAAGATGTATGTTGGTGAAAAGAGTCGCAGACAAGGGTACTCTCAGTCGAGACTACCAGAATTTACTGAGCAAGAAAAACAATATAATAAAGGTTAGGATTTAGTAACAACTATATGATATAACGTTCGGTGTACGTGAATCGTACCTGATAAAGCCCCAGCCCCACATGCTCGGACTTCAGCCCGGAGTAGCCCCGGACAAAATACACAGGTATATACCAGACCAGGCAAGACGCGGATGAGGCAAGGAGTGGACCCAGATTATGGTCGAAGACTCCGAAGCATACACGGAGAAGTCAATGTGTACACACGGACGTAGAAATAAAGACCCAGTTTTAATCTTTCCCCGGTTCAACCCCGGATGACACGAAATTATTTGTCCGGGGACGAGCCTGTACTGCACTTGATTTTCGCCACGGATCAGACCCGGACCATCTGGGTATATCCCGGATAGCGTCTGGGAGTATACGCGGAGTACTCCGAGCCTAGGTCGAGCATGTGGAACTTATGATAGTGCATGTTCAATTACTATGTCTGAAATTCCACGTAATGGAATGTCTTGGCTTATGACCCTTTTGGCCATCATAAGCAAATAAATTGTTCGATAAGTACACAGGGTCTGAATCAGTTCCATATCGCAGATCTGTTTGTTGGGGAGATTGAACGATTGTATGAACTGAATTGAAATTTTCGTATTTACAGGAACTTTTGACTTTGTTGGAATCAATCATTATACAAGTAACCTAATTTCTAATCATCCTAATCCGTATTCCAAACCAGGACTAGAAAATGATAAAGATATTAAAAGTTTCAAGGATCTGAGTTGGCCAAGGTTAGTTTAAAGCTGGAGGTTCAATCCTTCGGTTAGACAAATGGGAAGGGGTATCGGTATAGGCAGGGTAAAATTCTGAAAAAGTTGGGAACAATGCAGTAGTGCATTCTAATGGACTAAAATATTTAGCTTATGGCGTTCACTTCCCTTCCCTTTTACCACATGATTCAAGATAATTTATTTAGTCTTTCGATTGGCGAAATGTGCTCAAATTGCTTACAAAAATAACAATGCAAACGACAAAAACAAAACGAACTGATGTCTATTTTCAGATCAAATTCCAATTGGTTAGCAGTAAATCCATGGGGAATGAGAAAGATATTAAACTATGTTAAAACAAGATATAATAATCCACCTATTTATATCACTGAGAATGGTATACCTGATGATCAATTGGATGATGAACAGAGAATTAACTACTATCAACGTTACCTTAATGAAGCTTTAAAGGGTAAGTAAATAGATGCACCAATATATTAGAATAGCCGACATATCTATTGTCTTTATCGGCGGACATAACGGATGAATCAATAATACACGAACAGTATAGTTGAATTTGAGGAAAAATCGTACCCGTATATGTGCAAATATACCTTTAGTAAAACACGAGGTCGGGCTTAATTGTTATACACGTGGTGCGAAGTACGAATCAATTCCCCTCTTGTAACCTCTGAAAAATTAGAATTCGAGATGTTGGTTGCATTTTTCTTGAAACTTACATCAACACTGAACGTTAAACTGAATTTAATTCTCTTTATGATAATTGGTTTGATGACTGTTTGCCAATTTAACAGTTGTAATATTTTCCATGTCTGGGAGATTTCAGGTACCCAAGCGAAAGAATTCATTCCGACAGAATATTTGGACCTCTTAGAAAATGGTAATACTGCTGTAGAGAGGGATTTTCAAAATAACCATTTAACGAATTGATTGTAAAGAGTAATGTCCCTTGTTACACAGTTTTGATGTCTGAATCTGAAGAACTGATCTGAATCTATCCTATATTTTTTCAGCTGTACAAGACGGCGTTAATTTGAAAGGTTACATGGCGTGGAGTTTAATGGATAATTTTGAATGGGATTTTGGATATAGTATCAAGTTTGGGATGCACCAAGTCGACTTTAATGACCCAAACAGAGCTCGTACCCCGCGAAAGTCGGTAGCAATGTATACAAAGATAATCAAGGACAACGGCTTTGTAGCTGAAGCAAATCAGAATCATAAACCAAAAAAAGAGACACTGATTGGTTAATTTTATCATAGTTTTAACCAGGCCCGTAGTCTGACTTAATTGTTTAGAAGGGCAAGTTATACATCCTCCCTTAGCACCGGGCCAAAGTTTTAACAAATATTTTTTTTTGAATTTATTAAGAATTTTGTGGTGTCATAATAAGTTCGTCTATTACTTATGTAATTCTTCTGTGGACTATTGTTTTTAATAAATCACATTCGGTATTTCTGTATACTGATATTGCTGTGTATTATTCATATCACTCGGAGGTAAATGGATCATTGCCGTACAGTATAATAGACCAGGATATCAACACGCCTGATAATGGAATGGTGATCCTGGAATGACACTATTGAATATGGAATGAGAAATGCTGCATTATTGAACATGTCTGAGACCCACAAATCAGATGCGACGAAAATCATGTGCAAAACTTCGTGACTCACCAGCCATTGAAAGATAGTTCAACGTCCATCGTAGATGTAAAAAAAATTAATGGAACCGATAAGCGTCAAACAATTAATAAAAGGTTGATAAGGGTCCGCATGCTTCAGAATAATCAAACTAATCTAGCTATTCATATACTATGCTGAATCGTATTAAATTTGAAAAGATACCGACCTCCCACGGGCAGAGGATTTAATAAAGAATGTATAATGCCGAGGATTTAAACAATTTAAGCATTTTAATATGTATAGGGCATACTTATAGCCCAATAGCGACAATGTTCATTCCTGTCCTAGACTGTAGACAACATCCAGATAAATTTTACAAGTTGGGTCAACGAGTAGTCGCGCAGTGACTTCATAATCAACGAGGGACAATTCATGCAAATATTTTTACGCCTTTAATGTCAGTTCGCAAAGAAGATTGCTTGGGTCAATTTCTCAGTCTCATTTTGACTTTGATATATCACTCAATTATAACCTTGGCCTGATATATTTTAGTCGATATATTACAAATTAAACTACATTAGATACAATGATATGTGGCCAGTTTGACCTTGAGATAAAGATATGAAAACGATATTCACCAAATCCTTAACTAGTCCAGTACCTAAAATAACCTAATCAAATAATCCCCGATAAAACTTGTTATCATCTTTATGTTGAAGTTAGTGTCTATCTGATAGACAGGAGTGAAGGTGAGCTTATGGCATTTTTTTCTCCCTTGCTTATAAAGAAAATATATTGATTTCATACGCTTCAAGTGGATAAAACTTGCAATTTTCAGTACAAAATAAAAGAACTCATTTCCGTTGCTAAACACAATGTGCAACTGAAAAGCGAAATCTTCGACCGATTAACCTGTATCAAAATCATTGCTTCATGCTTTTCCGTTCCAGATGAACGCTGGGATTTTTGTCATCTTGCTGATATGTGGCCGAGTGTCGACATATCCCGAAGATAATTTGATACAAGGGAAATTCCCTTCTGATTTTATGTTCGGGGTATCAACAGCGGCTTATCAGATAGAAGGTGCTTGGAATGTGGATGGTAAGTTAGCTTCGTTGGAAAAGTGCTTATCAATCTTGGGAATGGTCTCATTGTCATGCAGTTCCGGTGTAGTTGTTGGGGTGGGACAAAGGGTCGGATGGTACATTTTTCACTGTGGTTCACATGAACTCATATAATAACATTTTCGGTGACATGCAACTGCAATCTTGGCACCTTAAAAATGACTCCCAAAATCCAAATAAGCCTGCCTGAATTTCCCGGCCTAAATGGATCCTCGGGTAAATATGCAAAAATGATTCATACAACGAATATTATCAATTTCTACGTGATGGAAGGATGACAGTGCCCAAAACCGAAACATATTAACTTCAGTCGGTATGTTTCCATTAAATTGGAATCGATTGTTTATTATAGGTAAAGGAGTGAGTATATGGGATAATTTCACCCACACACCGGGTAAAACACACGGTACTGGAGATGTTGCTGATGATAGTTACTATAAATATTCACAAGATATACAGCTACTTAAAGATTTAGGGGTAAGAAACGGCCTCCATTTCATTTATACTGTCGACTAGTTTTCGTTGGCTGAATCTTTGATGTTCAAAGCATCTTATCGGACCAATCCATAGCAGTATGCTTAGGGCAATAATATACTTTAGGGCAGATTACTTGCAGCTGCATTCACAGAGTCCGACCATAGTTAATGGTGGAAACGTTTCGACAACTGTGAGTTTGTCGCCGTGGGATTGCCCCTTATCCAGCGATTGGTAAGAGCCACCCACCACCACTACTACCCTCAACCACAAACCCAATTACACGAGTACCATGTCATCTTTGTTAATGATAACATAACAATGAGCTGGGATCAACGGAATAAGCCAGCAGGAATTTTCATTGAAGCTGCTTAGAAATGAAATGAACGCTAAAGTTATAAGGATCCCATGAGCACCTCTCCAAGACACAAAGGCTGGTCGACTTGTTCGTGCTGAAAACAATTCTCATTCGCCACTCACTGATCTCGTGATAAAATAAAAGTAAATTTTTATCTATATATTTTATCAGATTGGCAAAATCTGGCAAGTTGAAAACAAAGTGATTCTATTCGTCTACGTGTTTTACTTTATTTTCTTTGCAGATAAAAACTATTCGAATATCCATTTCCTGGACCAGATTGTTACCAGACGGTACAATCGATAATATAAATCAGGCCGGTATAGATCATTATAATAAAGTTATTAATGAACTGATAGCTAATGGTATAACACCGTTTGTAACACTTTACCACTGGGATTTACCACAAAAACTACAAGATGATGGTGGATGGTTAAACAGAACTATTGTTCAGAGATATCACGACTATGCCAACCTTTGTTTTAAGAGTTTTGGAGATCGGGTAAGTGTGATCTTATTAATGTCTTCTATTCGATACCAGCGTAAACATATTTTAAGTGCTTTTGTATTCTGAAGCTGCATAAGTTTGCTTTCTTATGTATTGTGCGGAAGTCCATGGTTTCTATTTCAAAACCTGGTTTTAGTATTCCTTTTCTTTTAGCTTGATGGAATTGTTATTGAACTCTTCATGTCACTTCGATTTTTAACCTTGTGGTATTAAACTATTGCGATTTGAAAGCTGCATAGGTCCCTAAAAGTAAGGTACTACAAACTAGTGAAAGAATATGTCCGTTTCAGGTGAAACATTGGATCACATTCAATGAACCGTTCTGTATATCATATCTTGGTTATGAAAGTGGAGTACATGCCCCTGGAATAAAGAATAATACAGCAGTCTACATAGCTGGACATAATGTACTCTTATCACATACAGCTGCTTACAGATTGTTTCAAAATAGTTATCCTGGACAAGGTAAATATTTCACTTTCGAGAAAGTAGTTACTTATGACATTGCCTTATTTCCATAGATGTTTTTTGAAAATCTTTTTAAGGATATTTTTTGAACGCAGTTGTTGATTGCTGAAGTTTCCGTTTCATTGCTTTCTTTTCTTTTGCTAAACTGATCAATCTCCACATTCGAAGCAAGACCAGATGAGGTTAATTAAGCATTGTCTAGTTGCTGATGGACATAGAAAATGGATTTTCGGAACTAACCACGTGGAAAGCTAAGGAACATCACTTCTATCTGGAATCAAATAAGAACCACGTGACAAAAATTCAAGAACTTGTGAACTAATGTATATTTTTCTCATGTAGGTAAGGTAGGTATCACCCTCGATGTCCTTTGGGAGTATCCAAAAACCAACTCAACAGAAGATGTAGATGCTGCATACAGAGCTATAGATTTTAAATTTGGTTGGTTCCTACATCCTATTGTGTATGGGGAGTATCCACCATCTATGAGGTCAGCTGTAGATAGGAAAAGTAAACTACAAGGTTTTCCACATTCTCGATTACCCAATTTTACTATGGCTGAGCGACAAATGATCACAGGTAAATGAAGGCATGAGAAAGCCCATATAAATATAATTTCTTTTAACGATTTCATAAGACGTTTCTAGACTCAGTTTGTGTATCGAGAACACTTTTAACATCTGATCAAGCCATTTCTCTTTACCAACCGGCGTATGTGTAGTCCACAAAATGCCTTCACGGTAGCTCCGTATTTTCTGTTTACTGTGTTCAGGGATAATTCTTGATGGATGGCTAAGTATGTGGTATCCAAAGTTACATGATGACTGGGTATCCTTGCAGCGTTCAATTTAAAAGGTATCGCATCGTAATTTGCGAGTCAAAATAATCCTTTTTTGCGATCCAATATTTTATTCGGTTTTAACATTTCAGACAATCAAACCCCCCACTGTGGAATTTATTTTGATAGTAACGTTTTGTAAACGTTTCATTTAAAGGGAGGGAATTCTGTGCAATTTTATTTGACCACTCTGGCTACTTATGAAAACTTTGTATATCTAATTTTTGTCGGTAGATTAAGATAAGATCAAATCGGTTGGTACATAATAAGTCTTCGGAGTACTGTAATCCGAAGCATTGCACGCAGGTACAAAGAGTACCTCTCAATATAAGAGAATACCCCATAGTCCCACCAACTAGTAACATGCTATTTCTGCCACTACTATCTGATCTTCTTCTCCATTTCTTACTACCTTTCCTCCATTCTCTGTTTGTCTTACTCTTATTGATATATGTCCTGTTCCACTTACATTTTCTTCCCTTAAACTGTTTAATATGTCTTCTCCATTCTGTTCCTCATTATCATAATACCTCTACACTCTGCCCTGTACACCCATTGCGAAGGGGACCATTTCCTCCCACATCCATTTTTTTCTCTCTTTCTACTGATCACGGTCTCTCCATTCCATGTTTTATCTACTCATGCAATGATCTCCGTCTGACACTTCTTCCCTACAGAAGCCTCTTCACTTCTCCTTTAGTCTTCCTGTGTGCTTTTTCCATCTCGTCTGTCGTTGCTCACCATTTCTCAACTATCCCGTCTTTAGATGAAAAATGGTATCAGGTTTCTGAAGAGTCTCTCGCTACAAAAACCATTGCTGCTCAATATACATGTACACGAAAAATGAAAGTGAATACAGAAATAGTGTCCGAACCAAATTGAACGTTAAGTTCATATAATCATTGATAAATTCCAATTAAACATGCCACGCAGAATGTGTCACATGCTTTTAACCAAAAAGCCGATCTTTTGCTGCATTGTGACCATGTAATAATTAAATATATTTTCAGGAGCCTATGATTTTATTGGTATCAACCACTATACGACCAATATAGTAGAATACAAGAAGTTATCAGATACTGTACCAGGCTATTATAATGATCAGGATGCTGTTTTCAGTTTAGATCCAAAATGGCCCAAGTAGGAATTATTTTGTGTTTGTTCTGTGGGTACATACAAGCTCAAGGACGCCTTATTGCTCGTGTCAATCCAAAGCAATTGGGGTAGTTTATACTTAATCATCTAATATGGTAGTAACACTTTAGCGCTAGAGTATGCTGCTAAACCAAAAATACATGAATCGAACTGTAAGCAAATTGTTGTGATTACTGTGACCAGCTGACACTCCAGATACTATGTCGGCTAAGTTGCAAAACTCATTGGCATCAGATTACTACGACTGTTTACTGTGGTTTTATATTATAAGGTATAACCTAATGAAATGAACATTATAATAACATGATATTCTTTTAAATTGGATAATTCATCTTAAACATAATGTTGAGCTGTCTGTCTCGTCCGGATGTCGCCACAAAATCGAGTAGATGAGGATTTTTAGATCTATGGTAAATCATGCTCAATGTTTCTCTGGTATCTTAATTTAGCGACCATTATTCTTCTTATAGGGGTATACCTACAAGTTATTTCGCGACAGTACCATGGGGTATGAGATATATATTAGAATATATCAAAGATATGTATAAAAACCCAGAAGTCTACGTTACAGAAAATGGTTTTGATGGCTGTGGTACTATGTTAGATCAAGGCAGAATAGATTATATTAAAGGCTACAGTAACAATGTTTTGCAAGGTATTGTTACTCTTTGCATTAAAGAGATTTATAAGTGGTGTATTAAATACGTTTATAGTTTGTATATGTACCATGTCTAATTGTCTAATGACTCACGTTTTCCTTGTTCTAGAATAAATTGTTTAGATCATGACGTGATTTTTGCAATACCTTTTGACTCGAATGGTATTTGTGATTGTACTTAATTAACTTTTTACGTGCATAAATAGCATAAATAAGTACACTGCCATAAGTACCCGGAAGTTTGAACTTTTGTTTGGGCTGGTTTGGCCTTTAATATTCCTTCTATTATCTATTTGCATGACAATACTATAATCATTTCTGGTGATGCTTTTGGTCCTGCTCCTACCAAGGACTTCCCGGCGAACACTAACACTTTATTTTCAAACCTTTTCAGCTATTAATAATGGATGTAACGTTAAAGGTTATTTTGTTTGGACTCTTATTGATGATTTTGAGTGGTTGGGTTATAAAGACAGATTTGGTCTGTTTTACGTCGACTTCACTGATCCGAATCTTTCAAGATATCCACGATCTTCAGCATTCTTCTACGCCACATTGATCAGAACACGGGGATTTGATCAGGCTGTTTTGGACTTCAGATCATGTAAGACTTATATAGTAAATCAATAGCCACTGTTCTTGTATCACAGAATACGGCTATTTGATTGGATTGTACGTTAGAGAATACAGCCAATCGGAGCCCTCGACGGAAAGAATGTTGGCTTATTATTTACTGTGGAGGGCTCTTGATTGGTGGCAATCGTATAATCTAATTAAATCGCTGCATTTACAATTTTACAGATACAAGAACAGTAGTTATTGTAGTCAATGTATAAGACGAAGTTCGTAATAACTTGAAAATTGTAAAGATCGTTAAACATACCAATGGTACATGACACATGACAGATAGCACATACATCCATAGAAATAAAGTTAATAAGACTTTCTATTGTATATATTTAAAACAGTAATGCTATAGTTACTTAAGATTTTGGTTAAGTATATAGTAAACACCCACAATTGTGAGGTACTGGGCAGATTAAATACAAAACCACTCTCAGTCTCAATTAGTATCAATTAATAATTTACTTTTTAGATCCAAAAGGAAGAGATGATTTTGTGTATGGTCAGTTTCCACAGGGATTTGAATGGGGTTTAGCTACATCAGCATACCAGGTTGAGGGTGCTTGGAACGAAGATGGTAAGTAAACAAAATCTTCGGATCTAAATTCGGTTGATCTGGTCCGCATGCACAATTCACAATCGAATAAGAATAGATCACATGTCAAATCTAAGAAAATGAATAATCACCTACATCGAGACAGAATAAGTACGACATCTGTCTTTAACTCATCAACTGAGGCAGACCTTTCTCTTAATGGAATAATCTAACATTTATTTTTTAAGCATTCTGCATACTGATACCGTTTTTTATCAATATATTTTCATGCAAATACCATCATATTAGCAGTAGTACTTCATTAAATTTGGAACTATGAAAATATTTTTTCTCTACAGGTAAAGGTCCCAGTATCTGGGATATATTTGTACATACATCAGGTCAGATCTATATGAATGAAACAGCTGATGTTACTTGTGATAGTTATCATAATTATAAAGAAGATGTACAGTTGTTACGCAATGTTGGTGTAAGTTCATCATTAAGTATTCATTCTGTAACTGATACATACTGTTATCATTGGAGTTCTGATAATTACGAAAAGACGGAAGGTTGATCATGACCTCCCTTGTTTAAGACTTTACAGACAATTTGAAAAAGCAATGATATGAATGACGTTTTACGTCCTATTTTTCTGTACCTTGTGGACTAAGGAAGAAGGGCAATGCCATGCAGGGCGTAATGAGGTACATTTTGCCAGGCCAGTGGAATTAGCCTGCTCTTTTCCAATTTCCAACTTTCGAGGGATCTTTAACGTGCACAGCCTGTAGCACACGGGGCCTCGGTTTATTTTCCCATCCAAACGGCTATACGCTTTTTCCATGTCAGTCCCTCTTACCAGCATCACTGACTGACAGAGAGGTGGGGGTGAAAAAAAAATCTGAAGGTATTATCTCGACCTTTGCCGGGTTTGAAGGATTGAACCCTGGACAATCGGGTTGGACAAGTTGAAGATGCTATATTATAGCAAATATTCATGATAACGACACCACCGATTATCACTTGAAATTTAATAGTTACAGACCGCTATGTGAAATTGTCCGCACCAAACTATCAACACTACTAAAATTCGCAGAATGTTTAACTTCCGGTATTGTCGGTTGGTGTGGTTGGACGTTTCGGATAAAACTAACTAATAACTTTTGTTTTGGGATATGTTCTTCAATTACATCGACACTGAAGCATTGGAAACGTGTTGACGTGAATGTCTGATATTTTCAGGTAGCTGTCTACAGATTGTCAATCTCGTGGCCAAGGTTAATGCCTGATGGAACTCCTGCAAGTTTAAATCAAGCCGGTGTAGACTATTATAATAATTTGATTAACGAGCTCATCAAGTACAACATCAAACCATTAGTTACTTTATACCACTGGGATCTACCACAAGCTCTTCAAGCCAAATATGGTGGTTGGTTGAATGAATCAGTCGTGGACGATTTCCGTAATTATGCTGATAAGTGCTTTGAGCTGTTCGGAGATAGGGTGAGTGAGTGTACAAATTGTTTTTCATAATCCTTAACTGTTATGATCTGCCTTGGATCAGAGTGAGTGTTGTACAATTTGTATCTGATAACGTATAAGTCTGTTGAGCTGCCTTGAATCAAGGTGGGTGTTGTACAATTTGTATCTGATAAAGTATAAGTCTGTTCAGCTGTCTTGAATCATGGTGAGTGTTGTACAATTTGTATCTGATAAAGTATAAGTCTGTTGAGCTGTCTTGAATCATGGTGAGTGTTGTACAATTTGTATCTGATAAAGTATAAGTCTGTTGAGCTGTCTTGGGTCTGGGTAAGTGTTTTACATTTTGTATCTGATAAAGTTAAAGTGTATGACTATGAGATGTCTTGTTATAGGGTAAATGTTGTACAATTTGTATCTGATAAAGTATAAGTGTTTTGAGCTGCCTTTGGATATGGGAGGTGTTGTACTACTTGTATCTGATTAACCAACTGGAGACTTTTCTCCAAATTTCTGAATCCTTGAACAATTCATTCCATTAATGTTTGATACCTACCCAATACGTCGTACCTTATGGTCATATGCAGCGCTCGTACTTTACCTAAACTTTACCTATACTTAAAGTATGCACCGGTCGATCTTTACGAAAGTCGTGCTTAAATTTTTCTATCAAAATATAGAAAATAAAAGCCTTAATCCTAACTTTGTAAAGTTCGACTTTAGCCAAAGTTCAACTTTAGTCAAGGTAAGAGCGCTGCATACGCCCCTTAGTACCAGAGAGAGACCTGAATCGAAACGATTCCTGCCCAAGAAAGCTACAATCATTGTCTTCACACATTAACCAAAGATTACCAGATGCTCTGTTAGGAATGAGCCTTTCGGTTCTGCTCGTGACACCTGTCAAATTTGTATACTTTTTGAGTATACGCCAAAGTAAGTTGTCATGCAAGACCTCAGTTGTTTATTATATCAACTGATTATATTTAAAACTTTTTGCTTTGGGTAGAGAAATTAAACGACATGAACAAAAATTTCAGACTAGGCGATAGCGACTATCACCATTTAAAACATAAGCTCTGTATTATATTGAGCTGTTCAATCGTGGTCACTCCGTACAAGTAATTGAACATGGTCTTCCGCAAAATTCGACAACTAAACAGTCCATTTTTTCCAATAGGTCATGAAATAAAAATACAAGAGGCTCAATTTTTAAATTTTTAAGGACTCTTCAAACTAATGTAAATCAATTCTTCAACAGAAATTGCACTTCTGAAAACAAAAATTTGTTTGGTCCCAAATTATTTATTTTTGTCGTGTTAGATACGAGTAATTACGAAAAAAAAACTCTTAGCCTCAGAATGTGCCGCCTAATTAAACCAATAATCACCATTCAGTGTCAATCAGGTTGAACTTTAACTCAGTGTCCAATAGCCGAACGTAATTCGATATTGATAATTTTGAGCCAATGAGAATTCGGTAAGAACGTTCCGGTAGTTGGTTTGGTTAAGGTGAATCAAAGAAACTTCTTGTAACTATAGTGTAGACTTTATATGTTAAACAACTCGGAGGTGGACTATTTCTGCAAATCAGAGCAAACAATTTCATCATGATTTGTCGTATAATGATAGCTTTTGCAAAACACTAAATAATAATCTTGGAATGTACATTTCCATGTTTTGGTACTTGTTTTCATGTGATTGGTTTTAGTGATATCTTCATTTTTCGGTATGTATTATGTTCATTTTGTTAATTTTACAGATCCCCACATTTTGTAATAGGCTACAGCCGCTGCCCTATCATTAATTCCACTGAATGGTAGTGTTCAGCCCAATAACTTCACTTTGCACTTCGTTTGGTTTATTTTTGATTAATTTATCAATACATTTTGATAGTCATATCATGAAAGATTTCTGTTTGATCTCTGTAGGTGAAGAGCTGGATAACTCATAATGAACCCCATGTTACGTGTTCTAATGGTTATGAATATGGTACATTTGCCCCAGGAATAAATTATACTGGTTTTGGTGGATATATGTGTTCTCATAATATTATTAAATCGCACGCTGCTGTGTATCATACTTATGATAGTAAATACAGAGCAACACAAGGAGGTAGAGTGTAAATTTTCTTTGTAGCGAGAGAATCAAATTGATATACTTTCAAAAATGAAAAATAAAATGAATATAGTTTTTCTGCACCATGTGGGCTAATGAAGACGGGCAACGGCTTGCAGTTTGCAATGAGCGATAACATTTGCAAGGACAGGGCCATTAAACTGCTTTTTTTCGATTTCCATCTGTCGGTGGTTAATTAACGTGCACAGCCTGTTGCACACGGGGCCTCGATTTATTGTCCCATCCGAACGACTTGACTCTTTTTCCATGTCAGTCCCTCTTACCTGCAACACTGACAGGGGAAACGATTTACCTTACAACCAATTGTCGATGAAGCTCTTACTCAACCGCATGAGCGATTTGGTCATTGGTTTTCGATTCTATTCAGGGAGACACATGCCAGAGTGTAACTTTTCATAACATTGGCAATTTACTCCTATTCTGTAGCCATTTGTATTGAGAAAATAGAAAATAAAGTCCGTGAAAATCGTTGTGGCCGTGGGCTTACCCCATTGAAACAGAGAATTTAGCAGGTCAAAAAAGGAAAGGTAATACCATGCGCACAATATTCGTTTTAGAGAGAAACACGTTGATTTTATGAAGTCATAAATATAATTTTGCTTTACAGGTCAAGTCGGTATCACTCTGAATATAAACTGGATGGAACCTATGACAGAATCCTCAGTAGATCTCGATGCTTCATATAGAGCTCTAGAATTTATGCTGGGATGGCATGGTAACGCCATTTTAGATAATGGTGATTATCCTGATGTTATGAAACAATATATTGGTGAGAAAAGCCGTCGTCAAGGATACACTAAATCTCGTCTGCCTGAATTCACAGAAACAGAAAAGGCTTATAATAAAGGTAAATTTGTTCATCAGATAAAAATGAAAACTAACATGTGTCTTTTCAGTTTTTGGGGTTTTTTGTTTAGTACTGCCCAAAGCTCTGGCCTTTTAATTTTGAACATTTGGTTGATGATCAAATTGATAAGTGTTATTTTGATTACAAAAACTCCTGAACTGGCTGACAGTTTGACAATCCTAACAGGGAACCAGTAGAATATATCAATTCCTTGAAAAGAAACAATTTTAGGTCATACATGCTATAATTTCTTTAAGCAGGATAACGTTCTATATGATTTCAGGAACCTTTGATTTTGTTGGAATCAACCATTATGGCAGTTCTTTGATATCAGATCACCCTGATCCTTATTCCAAACCAGGTTATTTAGTTGATGCCGATACTAAAGCTATTGATGATCTATGTTGGCCAACGTAAGTTTGCATTCTTACTAATTAGAAATAACCTTTTTTCAGCAAGATGACCTAGTCTTCAGCATATTCGTTCCTTGGCAACCATTTGGACAAATATTAGGCTACCTTGATTCTTTAAGACGGTTCGAAATGATCTTTCCCATTGGAATAAGCAAGCTTCACTCACTTTCACTTTAATATTATGTCCAGGAGAGCTAATGGATGCGTTGAAACACCTCTTTTGGATAAAATACATAGTAAACAAGATTACCTATGTAGGTCCTTCCTCATACAGGTTTAGATGATATGCATCCTTATTGTCTTTAGAACACTAGCTGATTGGGAAACAGTAAATCCATGGGGAATGAGAAAGATATTAAACTATGTTAAAACAAGATATAATAATCCGCCTATTTATATCACTGAGAATGGTATACCTGATAATGAATTAGATGATGAAACAAGGATCAGTTTCTACAGACGATATATGAATGAAGCCTTGAAAGGTAAAGCTTTCGTGTGATTGCTGTGTTGGTGTATTCAATTACATTAATATTTTTCATAATTAAAGCAACACCTTATATGGTTCAGTTGAGATGCCACCGAAAATAATTCAAATTAGTGTTTCTTTTTAGTTTTTAACATGTTCGTCTCCATTTTAATCTTACCAATTTTCTACCACAGCCCCGCTCTAGTGATGTAATTTCTAACCGATAAAAAAATCATGTTGAACCCGTTTCTTTAAGATAACTAGCCAGGCAAGGTAATATACGCCCACTGGCAGCTTTGATTTTAAATAAAAATATTTGCCAGTATAGCAACAATTACCAGTATGGAATATTCGACCTTCAGTCATATACTTCTTTTGAACTTTTGGGCGATACTTAATAATATTACCAAGTTTCATCAAAATCTACTAAGAATTGGGCCCCACAAATCACAATCAAGAAATTGGGTTCAACATTATACGTTTAGATAATGGTACCAAAAAGTTCATAATAATGGAGGCGAGAAATATAAGGACATAAAAAAGAAACAGAATTGTCTTCTTATTTTAATTAGATAGGATGCTATCAAAAATTAGGATTGTATCAAAAAGTGAAACTGATATTTTGATCTGAGAGGTAGGAATCTGAAAACATTCATTTGACGCAACTTGCTGGTTGTCAGTCAAAATTTCGATATGTACCCCACTCACAATGGTATGACGTGAATTGCCAGGCGACCTTAGCGCACTATAGAGTACCAATACCTCTTGATCAATACATTGTCTTTCCGTTTTATTAACAAATTTAACGATTTGTACGATTTCAGCTGTGAATGACGGTGTCAATCTTAAAGGTTATGTAGCATGGAGTTTATTGGACAACTTTGAATGGGATTATGGTTATACTATAAAATTTGGTGTCCATCAAGTCAATTTCTCAGATCCCAATCGACCTCGTACACCGAGAAAATCCGTTTCTGCATATCAAAAGATTATAAAAGATAATGGATTTCTTGAAGACAATTGAATTAAAAACTATACATGTATATCAATATGTTGGGTTATTTGTTATATGAGCACTTGCTCGATTAAGCGCAGTTACAACGCACTACACAGAATGTCTTCCGGCGTCACCATGCATCTAGCTCTCTTTTAAAAACCTACCCAAAGATTTTATGGACTAAATTGCCTCTAATAAAAGCCATATGAATCATTTGTGCCCTTACGAGGCTGATTCATTATAGTCAATTTGAAATTGAAGCCATTATTACCCATAGACTACCCACACAAAAGACAAAAATTCCATGTCTATGTCTTGAATCTCCCCTGATGCGGAAAAATATCTGTGATCCGCTATACCATCAGCCTTTTCTTATATGGACTTTTGCCATTTGCCATCTCTTCCCATGTTAAAACACGAAATTCAACCTTCTACAACTTTTTCCAGAAATCTCGTTGAAAGTTTTCCAATATGTCGAATGAAAGCCTGACCAATTCTCAATGTCTCCTAAAAAATTCATTATATGATGACCTACTAAAATTGAAAGTAGACTACTACCGGTTATACTCATCCGCAAGATATTGGCAGTTCACAAAACGACTATTTTTAGAATTAGCCTCCCGCCTTTAGGTCTCTCATCATCTCACCAAATCTTAAAGATAATGCAAATTCAGACTCCAAATTCCAAATCTAGACTAAAAATAGGCATGCAAAAACCCCAAAAGAGAGAGAGAAAGAATATAAATGTTTTAGTGGAGTGAGTCCATATGTTTCAGACTAAATGCTTCAGTTTAGAGACAGTTGGAAATTGAAAAAGAGCAGGCTAATGCCGCTGTCCTGGCAAAATTTCCCTCATCGCACCCAGCATGGCGTTGCCCGTCTTCATTAGCCCACATGGTGCAGAAAAGTAGGACGTAAAACTCCATTCATTTCATTTCATTTTTCAGTTTAAAGTCTCAATCGAAGCTAGTTATTCCCCTTGATTCACTCTATGTTGGACTCACTCCACTTATTCATTTGCCATCTCTTCCCATGTTAAAACACGAAATTCAACCTTCTACAACTTTTTCCAGAAATCTCGTTGAAAGCCTTCCAATATGTCGAATGAAAGCCTGACCAATTCTCAAAGTCTCCTAAAAAATTCAATATATGATGACCATGAAAATTTGGAGCTACTAAAATTGAAAGTAGACTACTACCGGTTATACTCATCCGCTAGACTTTGGCACTTCACAAAACGACTATTTTTAGAATAAGCCTTCCGCCTTTAGGTCTCTCATTATCTCACCAAATCTTAAAGATAATGCCATTTCAGACATCAAATTCCAAATCTAGACCAAAAATTACTCAAAAATAGGCATGCAAAAACCCCAAAAGGGGGAGAGAAAGAAGATTTCTAAAAATAGCCTGGATTACAATCATTTGCATAAAATGTTTTAGTGGAGTGACTCCATGTATTTCTGAACTAATGATTAAATTAAGATTATCCTATCTCTAGTTGACAAGATCTCATGCTGCTTCATCAGAACAACCGGTTTGAAAATGATAGTTAATATTACAAAATTGGAGCTTTTGACTGATCAGCAAAGTGAACGACGTTACTTTTTGAAACTTTTGGTGTCAGGTCGTTTCACGGAATTATATTTGCACGTATGCGACATCATAGTATTTCTATCACCACGTAAATGATAAGTATCAATTTGAAACGTTCATTATCATCATCCATTGCCCAAGGTCTGTAACTAAAACTGTTTGATACGACCAAATGATCAAATATCATCTAAACTCTAGTAACCTACCACCTTGATGTCGCCGCCGATGCTTCAAGAACCTAATTATCCGGCGACTACGCACGCCCAAAATCCCGGTTTACGCCCGAAGGTCACATAATTGGCTGAAATCTACAATTTAATTAGTAGTTCGATGGTGAGCATCCTTCGGGAAATCTCATAATTAGATAAAACCATCTCCAACTTCAATTAATAACAAATTATGGGTAGGATAGTTTTACACATCAGCAAACCAACCACACAAAAGGATGATTTAATCCATTATTCTATAGGTTGCCGAAAGATACTTTATGACAAAATACATCAACGTTCTTACGCATTCATAGTAATGATATAAAAAGATTTCAAAATAAATTTATAAATTATTAGTTTTGCTCCGTTTGTTGGTTTGGATAAAATAGCCACCGTAAGTTATTAAAAGTCCTATTAATGCGGCTATTGCTGCGGTTTCTGTTTGTTAAATTGCTAATTGGTTTGCAGTTCATTACAATAGATTAATATGTTTGTCGCTTATTGGTCATCATTTTATTACCGTATTTATTATAAATAAGCACTTATACCGAAGTTCACGTACTTACCATAAGGTATTTAATAGTTTTGTTTGTGTTGTCGAAACTTCAAAACAAACTTCTAAAAGGATGTTTTAAAGATAACATATATGTTACCCTGTCTTTAAAGATAACTTCCTTTAAGATGTTACCCACAAATTAAAGATAGCACCTTTTAAGATGTAAATATCCTTCAGGTAACGTACTATAAAATGTTACCACCATTTTTGAAGAAAACATCATTTAAAATGTTACCTGTAATGTAAAGATAACCTCATTTAAGATGTTACCTGTATTATAAAGATAACCTCATTTAGAATGTTACCCACATTTCAAAGATAAATTCCTTTAAGATGTTACCCGCATGTTAAAGATAACATACTTTAACATACTTTAGTTTAAGATAAAACCCGTATTTTAAAGGTAACTTCCTATACGATGTTACCCACATTATAAAGATAACAACCTTTAAGAGGTTACCCACATTATAAAGATAATTACAGGGACGATATTTTGTGCACATTCAGGGGCCATTCCATTTAATTGCACATTGCTGATCTCCTACAAGAACAGGAACAGATATGTAGGTCATTAAATAAACAATAAATTATATTCATTCATTCTTTAAACTGTACTTAAAGAATTGATTTTTATTTTTATTTGACCTAGTGCTGTCTCACCTGTCAAATCTATTCAAAATATTATAAAATGGATTGCTTCTGTTAGTGACCAAACTCCATCAATCAAAGTTATGTCAATATTTCAAATTTCATATTATTGACTTTTCTATTGTGATTATTTGTATTGGGCTATATTGTATAATATTTTTCAATAACACTTATTAAGGCTGTATAACTATCAATGTCCCTATATCAGTGTATTTCCGAAGTTCGTTAGTTTCAATGAGTTGTTTTATTAGACCAGTGCTTCTCAACCCCAATGACATCATTCCTTCCCGGAATAGTTCTTTCAAATCTATTCCCCCCAAAAATATACTGAAATGCATTTCACTTGAAAAATGTATTCAACGATTAGCCATTAATGTATATTTAATCTTACTCCGCATATCAAGAAAGTTCAATGTAATCATTAATTATTTCTGTGGCAATAATTCCTCCCAATGGTCTTCCATATCGAAAAGTTGATAAAAACATTCAATGGGGCACTTTCTGGAAAAAGTCCAGTTCTGGAAGTAGAAAGCAACAGTTAAATGGACATAGTTGAAAAACCAGAATCTGTTGAAAGGTAGATCTTAGCATCCTTTTTAATTTGATTTACCAGCTGATGTAACTGTTCAGATTGAGAATCCGACGTAATCTGGGCGATTACTTAGTCTTGGCAGAAACCGACCTGTTTCTTGTAATGTTTTTAACTCACCCCTCTGTAGACTTTATTTAGATATAAACACCCACACAAAGGCATCTGCTACGTCTCTTATTTAATCAGCTGGTAATAATATTAAATTTCACAACTGACAATAAAATACCTTTATATTGATGTCCTTTGTCACTGACATAAAGCTTTGGTAAATGGATATTCGAACTTAAATTTACCTTAACATTAAGTTTGATTTCGAGCATGGATCAGTCCATTGAATTGAAGCGAAATCTTTTCTGTTTGCGATACAGTTAACATATCAGATTCAGGTTAGAATTTTCATTTTATTTTTTTATACATTTTTTTTATTGTAGTATTTTTTAAGTGAGAGAAATATTAAGGAACATATTATAGCATCTTCACAATTTCTAACTATTACAAACTTCATCTTATACCTTGACAGCAACAGCCACCTATCGTGTGTCACGGAAGTTTGTATGCTAGTGACAATCAGAGCTCTTGACAAGTTTATAAACAATAAACCAAAATGATTACATTCTTAGCTCTGATTGGCTGCCAACCAATCCAATAATTGTATTCTATGATAAAGGAAATAGTGACTATTGCAGTCAAGGTATTAGACGAAGTTCGTAATAAATTGGCATTGTGAAGATTATTACAGAAACATTACGAATTAATTGATTGCCATCGAGTCAATTAAATCTATAGCGATAATAACAGATAGGCAACAATTAGAATGTTATTATAATGGTGACATTTCATATCAATGTACGTAGAAAACTTATAAACAGTGGCAGCATCAGTGGGGGGTACAGAAAAAGTAGTTTGCACCCTCAATAGTACCCCCACTTAATTTTCAACAAATCTAAATGTCTATCTTTTTTCTCCAAAATGTTTTCTCAGAATGCACAAAATCAATCCATTTTTTTTAAAAATCTTCATGAGAGAGCCCTCTAAGATGCATTATGAGAGGCTTGCGACTATGACACCGCCACAGAATAGCTACAATTTGAATACAGCCTGAGCACAGCAGTTGTCCCCCCCATTGAGTCAGTCTGCCCCCTATTTGTATCCCAAGTCTCGGAATGCTGGCGCCGCCACTGATTATAACTACTTTGACACCTTGAGTATTACGAATTTTAATCTAAACCTCATATTTTTACAAAACAAACCATATGCAAAGGCGTTTTGGGTGTGTTGTTTCGCCGGTTTATATATTTATTTTATGACTTTTGTCCCTAATACGGGGTTTACCTTCTAAAGTAAAACACGACAGAAATATATCTCGAAGATGATGTTTTCTACTTGCAGTGTGTTTCCCCTAAAATCAAAATACCAGAACATCACGTTT